AAGTAAATCTACTAGGATATTACCCTTCTTTATTAAGAGAGGCTTTAAACCATGCACATCCTTTGACTAGTTAGCAGCTACCAGGCTGTTAGACCTTAATATTAATTGCGAGCAAGCGCAGCAGATGGCTAGATGCATAGAGGAGATCTGGTTGTATGCTCATGGAGGTATGGAAGCTGCTTAATATTAATAGAAGTAATAGGCTGATAAGCATTGCTGTGCTATTAACTTTGATATCAATAATTATATCTTTGTTACTACATTAGATTGGAAGCTTAACTATCCTAGTCAGAAGCTTGCTGACCAGCTCACTGGACTATACTGAATTATAAAGTGAGAGGGGAACACCTTCCAACTAGATCTCCTAGATTCTATAAAAGTCCACCCCATCTTCACGCCTAAGAAGCTTTACAAAGCCCTATCCACACCTCCTCTACCTGGCTAGCTCCAGGACCTGGCTCCCCCACTAGAAGTTAACGGCGAAGATGAATGGGAGGTTGATAAGATACTAGTATCCTAACTCCACTATTGCAAGCTCCAGTACTGGGTAAGATGGCTTGGTCATGACATTAATCTTACCTGGTATCTAGCCTGAAATTTTAGGAACTCCCTAATGTTGCTCTGTGACTTCCACGCCTGATATCCAGCCATGCCAGGCCCGCCAATGCGCCTACCAGAATGGCTATGAGCAGCTAAAGACGATGTATTCCTTAATAATCACCCTAATGATGATAAACCCCGGATGAGGGCATCTGGAACCTAAAGGGGGGGTAATGTGATAATCCATCACTATATTCCCCGCGGACCTCCTTACATGGAGCTTTCTGCCCATCTTGACTACTTACCTCTCCAGGGCTGTTTGGATTGTTTGTACTGTTCCACCCTCTGTTTACATATCTCCCTACTATGTACATACTTCTTCCCCCTCTTCTCTATGCTTAGTTTTCTATCGAAATACTACCATACCATTGGAATATGAGCAGTGCCATCATAGCTTTATCTAGAAGTTGCCTTGTAGTAATTAATAGACTGAATCCCCTTGCTTCTGTTCTCCCGTCTGCCTCGTATAGACGCCAGACTCGTTCTGGAGAGCCTAGTCTGATGGGAGGTTTGGCTGTGTTTTAGATATTACTCCCTTCCCCTGGGCTTGAAGGTGATGGCATCAATACTACCCTCTTAATTAATATAGGCAACAGGCTGTTCATCATGTTATGTGTTACTCATGTACTGTCTGAGTCTGTCTCTCCCACGGAAGATCCTAACGGCACACACCCAAGCTGGTGCAGTTCTAAAAATACTCGTGGTGTTGACCCTGAGTAACATTTCAAAGGCAGGGCTTCAGAAAACAGTGGGATAAATAGGGCCTTTGCCATCTGACTCTAAATCCCTATGTTAGGATAAGGGATTTGAACCAGAGATCTCGTGGGTATATTAAGTCCAAGCATTATGTTGAATGCCGACGATGGTTAGCAGTTAGCTATGTAGACCTATGAATAAGAGAGTTCGAACAGGAGTTTTCTCTGAACAAGTATATTCTATTCTTGGCCACTGCTTGGAAGATTTAATTCATGTATTTGTTCTGGGAAATTTTCTTTTTATGAGGTTGATAACTTGAGCCGGCCCTAACTGAAGAAGTGTATCTTTGATTGCTTCAACTGAATCCTTTCACATCTCCATTAAAAAATAGGAGAAACTCTTTGCTCTGTAAGCGTTTAATACATGAGGTCTCTAAACTTCAGGAATGTTAGCAAGCTCTCAGGCTTTGACCATTTTAGAGATAGTTGATACTAATATCATACATAGCTGTAGGCGAGAAGCGCAAACAATATGATATCAGTTTATCACATCTACTGCGAATGGATCGATCCATGAAATCTACTCGAGGCAATATGAGTGATGGCAATGAAACACACAAAAAAGGTGTGTTACAGTCCCCTCTAGAAGCAGTGTTAAGAGTGGTCTTAATTGGGTGTACGGCCGCACAATAATTCTGAACGCGTGGCTCGGCTTGAGTATAGTACAATATATTATAGTTCTTTGAGCATAGGTTCGGTCAGTTACTTGAGCCTTCGAAGTCTTCGTAGCCGTAGCCGTGGCCACGTATCAGGCTATGATCGGTAGAAATTCGAGGGGATCTCACCTTCAGCCAGCCACGGCGTTAAACTAGCCATTCTTCACTGGCCCAGAGGCTCCGTTGGAAATGCAGCTTAAAGGCTGACTGCATATTCTGTAATAAATGCTTTGATTGACCTGTCATGGTTGGATGTGGCGACCAGGGTTTATGTGCGTTTTGAGATTTGACAGCGCGGGGCGTTTTTGTAGGGGGGGCTGGGCCAGGCGATGTAGATACTTATATCTCCGTGCGGGGAATTATTTCCGTCTTTCTTTTTCTTTTCCTCTCCTGATTTCGCGTTATTTTCTTTTGCTGTCCGTGTACTAGTTAGCATGGACTCTTCTTCGCGCCCGCACTAGCCCTACCCGTTGTTCCTCCCAAAGACAGATTTACATTCCTCCTGTTTTGAAGCCGACACTATGTTCTAAGATCAGATACAGCAGATCTAGGACAGCCTGAACCGTCATCTCTCGGTACAATATTGATTGGGCTCAATGACGATCTCATAATGGACAGTACAACCGGGTTGCCCGCGAGCAATACCGCTCATGAAACTCCCGCAGACCAAGAAGAGAGCGTTGAGAGATCTTCGATACGTGAGATATCTGACAATGAGAGTCAAAATAACGAGCGTACTGACGGGTCATCCGCTGTGAATTCAGTCCATGGGCACGCGGAGTCGCTTGGTGCGATCAGTCCGACTGGACCGGTGTCGGGCGACGAGGCGACCACGAACGATGAAGAGGTCGCAAGCCTTGGCGTATCTCAATCCCGCGAACAGAATACTGACGATGGCGAAGGTGATGGTTCGGCAGGGGACGGTCTATCCGAAATTTCAGACGACGGTGAAGCATATATCCCAGGGCTGGATCTTGAAACGATGGAAGCTATTCTAAGAGCTGCCCTAGAACGTGGGAATGATGCGAATTCCGATCAGTATACTTCTTCCAGCAGCTCCTTGACCGAGGTATCCGAATCCGGCAGCGACGATGGCCGAGATGGACATGCCAATCCGGGCACGGCAAGCGGGGCAACCAACGTTGTTCAGCTTTTGGAACACCCACCCAGCGAAGATATCTGGGAAGCTATATCTGATCGCCATATCGAGCGAGTGGAAGAGCTTCTAGCCGGTGATCCGGAGTTATCGAATTCAAAAGCGTTGGTTGAACATGATGACGAGGGGCAAGAACCCTTTGTAACGCCGCTATATTTGGCCGTGGTCTACCGTCAGCCTCGCATCGTGGAGGCCCTCTTGAAATATGGGGCGGATGTCGATGCATTGTCCACTAATATAGCTGGTGGGATCAGCGCGCTGCACACCGCGGCCATCATGGCCAACTACACCAGTGTGAGGTTGCTGCTTTCCCAGGGCGCAACCATTGATATTCAACGGGCTGGCGGAAGCACTCCACTCCACGACGCCATCAGGCAGCGAAAGTTCGACATAGTGCAGTGCCTCTTGGAGGAAGGCGCGGATCCTACCCTGCCAGACAACGAGCTGAACTCGGCTTTCCACCTCGCCGCGCAGTTCGACTCTGTGGAGATCTTGGATCTCTTGTGGGCAGCGACGGCTGACCCTGAGACACAAATAGCAGAGGTTAACGCATTGCACAGCACGGCGCTCCATACCGCGACTGTGAATAACTGCCCCAAGGTAGTAAGGTGGCTGCTGGATAAAGGGGCAAAGGCTGATCAGGTGGGCGAATATCAACGCACGCCATTGCACATGGCAAGCATAGAAGGAAACGACAGCATCGTCTCAATCTTACTGAAGAACGGAGCGCAGATAGACCCGCTAGACACTGACTCTCGGACTCCTCTACAGCTTGCATGTTTGAATCTGCAGGGTGAAGTGATGAAGACTCTGTTCTACCACTACGCCTCAACTACAACAGTCGACTCTATTGGACGAGGCTGCCTCCATCATGTGGTTCAGGGCCACCACCAGCTTGGTGAAGGGTCTAAATCATTCCCGGAGTACCTGGAGTACCTTGCGGGCAGGGGTGCTGTTATTGACCAAGAAGACGATCGTGGATCCACCCCGTTGATGGATGCATGCCTGTGCCAGAGCTCGGAGTTGATCCAGACCCTTCTCGACCTCGGCGCTGATATCAACTGGAAAGGCCATATGGGCCGGACGCCTATCTTCTACGCATGCGAAAAGCCGGACAATGGGAGCCTCGATCTTCTTCTGAGACGCGGTGCTGACGTTACTGTAACCATGACTGGAGGATCTACACCACTCCACGTAGTGTGTAGCCGGGGCGTTACTAGCAACGTCCGGCTTTTACTAGAGTACAACGCCCCCATCACTGCTCTTGATGGTGATGGCAACACGCCCCTTCGGAAAGCAGCAGATAACAAGGCCGTTGACATCATGCTGGAGCTTGTCAAGACACGCGAGTACTTTCCAAAGAATCCGGCTGCGGATCCGGCGTTCATTGAGGCCCCAAGGTCTGCTGCAAAATTGTTGGAGTCTTTCTCAATAGCTTCGGTGTAGAAGACCGTGACTATTCAGACCGTGATCTGGAGTCTCTACTGCACTGGGCCGTATCGCACGGCCGCTTCGAGCTGATCCAAAAGTGTCTTAGATACAGACGTAAAGCATTGTTCTGGAGAACTGGGGGAGAAGCCACATGGCTCCATGTAGCAGCTCAATACGGACACAGCGGCATTATCAATAACCTTTTCAGTAAGATTGATGCCGCCCAAGAAGCCAGTGGGGGATTACTGCGTTGAACGTTGCAGCTGCCCATGGCCACCTCGACACAGTTCGGGCGTTGCTGGAGATTATAGCGAGAGACTCTTCCAATGCAGACGAAGCCACTTGTGCAAAGGCTAGAGCAATCATTCACTGGAATGATCGAAGAGAATCACCTCTTACGCTATCCATCAGTCGAAAGCACAAGCGCTTAGAGGAGCTATTCTTTTCCGAGCTGAAGGCCCTAGGAGATGTGAGCGGCAATACCCTTGACTCAATCAAAGAAAGCGAGCTCCTCGAAATACTCGCCGAGTGGGAAAAGCCGGGGCGCGAGTCTCTGCTGAAGCATTTGCTCCAGCACTGGCTACCTGCTCCGTCAAATACAGATATCAGATACTGGTCGGCTCTTCACTGGGCCGTTCACGGATCCGCAGCCGTGGTGGTCTGGTGGCTTCTGTCAAAGGGGGATACAGATCGGGCGATGCGATCAGAGACTGCCAAAAAGATCCTCTGGCGAAAGCAGACGCAATCGGGCGGATCATTCAGAATCTCCTGCGGAATCCACCGCCGCAGATGTACGAGATTGCGAATCCCGTAGATGACGAGCGGCCCTTTCCCCCGAGACCGATGGACTGGGAGGATCAACGACCTGATCTCCATGGATTCATCGTGCATGTTTACTCTCAGAATGGAAAAACCGTCGTGCCATATACGAGCGATACTCTCCACGGCATCATTTACAGCCAAGGGCCGACTGCTCTCTCAAAACGCGCGGAAATGCTCGAACAGATAGACTTGAATATCTTGAAGAAGAAGCTGGGAAATGTTCCGAGCGAAGACCAAAGCCTTCCTAATATCTGGAATCGATCTCGAACTCCATCTGGCGGAGTCAGAAGCACTATCACCCGTCGCCAGCTGCGGCATGACTATAGTGACTCCTCGGAGAACCTGAAGCTTCGTTGGATTCATCTGCCTGTGAATGAATTACAGTTAACCAAGGTTCGCCAGCCAGCATCGCCCGTGAGTGATCGATCCTAATATGGTTGACCAAAGGACCTTGTAACGAGACTGTCGCACGACTCTGGCCGATCGGAGATGGACCATAGGAACTTTATGAAGTTCTTCAACAGAAGCTGGACCGAGCTCGCGGCAGGCGCAAGGCAACATTATATGAAGCCGCTGTGTCTGGTAGGCACTGCACCCAAAATGTTTAGTCATTTTCTAATTTGACATGAAATGTCTAGCGCGCGCAAATAAATGAGCGCGGTAAACACAGAACTTGCACCGCTGTCTACGTGAGTGGAACATAACTATCTCCCCTTGTTCTTATTATTAAGCCAACAACAGATGCCGTATCTGACACTGGGTGAACACGACCCAAAGCATCCCAAGAAGCGAACTCTTTCCGGAGTAAAGCAAAGTGGAGATGATAACTTGATCGGCAGAAGAGATTCCAGACACGTCGCGCATGTCCCTCTGACTCTCGACCAATACTACTACCCTGGGATCTCTGACACCAGCTACCGAGACGACCACCAGGTCTTCTCAAAGTACCTAGAAGAGCATCATGAGAAACCAGTGTCATCGACGAACAGGTCAAAGAAGAAACAGATATTGATGGTCGACCAGCTGTGGATTTGGATAATAGATGATCGTACGACTATTCGCTCCAGCAGGTATGATTGCAGCTAACTTTGATCACCTAGAGTCAGTCATTACAAGCACGTCCCAAAGACACGAGGAGTCCTCCACTGTGCCACCGCGAGATGCGAGGGATTCATCGATGAGCACTCTGCTGCAGCATGTCCTTAATGACATCGCGTACGGCGAGAGCAGAGGTCGCTCCGAGCGGCCTACGTCGGTGAATGCGGTCATGCAGTTGGTTCTCGGGGCGGCTACTGGATTCTTTATAGAAAAGTGTGTACAACTTGCAGACGGCACTTTCAAAGGACCTTTGGAGGTTTTCCGCGAGTCGATTCGTGATGTGGTTCGTCTATTGCAATAACCGAAAATTCAGCCGCGCATATCACTAATGACCGATTAAGGCCAACAGAGAAACCGAGCTGTTCCAGAACTTCTTGAAGGATCTCAAGCAGGAGATTAAGAAACGCAAGGCGCGCACCGAGCGCATTTCCTCGAGGAGCGGTCGCCCGTCGATCAGAGAACTGCCCAACAACCCGCACTATATCATCTCGGAGGAGACAGAACTTCTCGACCAGATTCGCGATATCAACGATGAACTTCACATGCTGCGGTCATTGGCCGAGGATCAGGAGATTGTGTGGAACCAAGCATTCGCTGGCATGGAGACGCAAGGCCGTTTCAGTTGCACTCCAACTGAGATTGCTCGAGATCTGGATGGAATGATCCTGGAAGCAGAGATGACTCGTGACTCGGTGAGTGTCTTGCTTTAGGGATCTTTTACTGCTGTATTGCTCACCAGCCAACTTCTCTAGATTGATACGTTGCTCGACTTGCGCCAGAAACAAGCAAGCCTTGCGGAGACCGAGGCCGGTCGACTACAAGCGAACGACACAGCGCGCCAGTCGAACAACATCTACGTCTTTACTCTAGTGACCATCTTCTTTGTAGGCCCAAATTACGCTCCCAGAAGTCATGCTAGAACCCAGACTAACTTCTCACGCAAAAAAAACAGCTCCCTCTTTCCTGGCTGACATCCCTGTTTGCGCTGAACATTACCAGCCTTCCGCACAACAACGGAACGACCGAGTACCAGCCTCAATGGCTGTTTCCTATCCTCTGTGAGGACTTCCTGCCAAATCTCAGAAAGACCCGTGCTAACATAGTACATGAAAGTCGGTGTGACGAGCGTGTTTTTCAGTATCGCCATTTTCGCCCCGTTGAGGGTTGAGGCGTTCCAGGACTGGATGTACAATCGCAGCGGGGTGGAAGTGCTGCTGGGGGCAAGCCACCCAGTCTGCGGCCGCCATCACGGTCCAGCGCGAGTAGGAGATGGAGCTCTTACACAGGTGACGAGGACGGGTCAAGCTCATACCTTCCTAGCGAACATCACGACGAGAGGGGCAGCAACCAACAAGAAAAGGGGTCAGGGCTCGGCTGCAGAGATACTGGCGGAGACGCGCGCAGAGATCTAGCTCAACAGTATAGCGTCTTCCAGCTCGGACAGAATAATCCAGGCTATATATAAGGAAAACAAAAAAGCTGCGGGTGAATCACAGATCCCCACACAGTAGTCTCTTCTTCCATATCAGTGATACTAGCAGCATCTTCCTCGTTGTCATAGCTTCCTCACTGCCGCTCTAGAAGAGCAGTCAAGGGACAGAGCATGTGATGTTACTGTGTCTAGACAATGACTCACTAAGATTAAGCTTTGTTTTCCAAGCTAGAAGCATTTCTCCCAGCCACTCCTTAGGAGTGCCATAATCAATGTAATAAATATTCCCACACTGTGCCCACCCCAGACGATCCCAATCATTCCCAGATACATGGATCGCTCAGTTGGAGGCATCAGGTTGGACAGAAGGGTCATCACTCCAAGACATATGCCGGCACCACCAAGACCACAAATCGCACGATTGACAATAAAGGCAATCATGCTCAGGGCGGCGTCACACAGAGCCAACCCAATCTCGAAAAATGGCTGTTGTGATGATGCAAAGCCATTTGCAATTGCACTGGTCATACCCTTTGCTCCTGTGCAGAATTAGCTTCATGGTAGCTTGGGAGACCTTCCAAGTTGACCCTACCAAGCCAACAGTGCATTTTCCTGCAAGGAACGCCGACCAGGGGTGGTTAAATGACTCACTTGGCTCATTCAGGCGCTCCCCGCGGTCAGGACGAAGCCCAATGCGATGATCTATATACTCGCCGTTTCGAGACATTCCTCGCGGCTACCCAGAAGATGGATTTTGACGAGGCCGAAGAGACCAGGCGGGAGAAGGAACAATAAACCTGATCAGATGAGCATTGAGCTATCCCGAGTCTAGGTACAGGCTACGAGCGGACAGATTTGGAAGTGTAGGTTCCGTATGTCATGTACGATCATTGGTGGCTCTCTACCTAGAACTGAGTCTCGAATGCCCATACGGGAGTATGCCGTTCAACAGTCGATCTGCAGCCTCAGTATGGGCAACATGCCCGTGGCGTACTTTGTGTGGTATTGGGATCGCGGGACTGGGCTTTCCCTGGTCCGTACGGCTTAGCCAGCCGTACTCCCAAACTGCGACGGATGTTCAACTCAAGCTGCTTGGGTACTGATTAATGTTTCGTCAAGTAAATAAATGACAAGGACCATCATTTGGACTAAATGTGTTGTTCTTTGGAGCTTGTGGCCTACGAGCCACTTTCTTCAAGGAAAGCCGCCCAGTATACTTGTCAGAGGGATCAGATCCACTTTATTCCTGTGTGAGTATGGAGATAATAACGGCAAACCATAGGTCTAGTGCAAGAGGAACAGCCTGATGATGAAGGCTTGAAAGGAGCATTTTCCCGCACCGACATGGGTTAAGCTAGAAAGATAAGAAAATCAAACTGAGATGGTAAAAGTACGCAAATGATCCTGATGCAGATTTGCCAACGCCTTCCAGTGCATCACTTGATAGTCCATCGACTCTGTATTAATGTAGATCACGTCATGCTGGTTCGAAAACCCATTGAACCGAGTCGCCGTTGCTGTGGTGTAGGCTTCCAGGTATAGTCAGTTTTTAGGTTTCTATACTGGACGGTCTGGCATGTAAGGACTCACCACCCATATTCTTGTACTTGAGCCAATCACCTATGCGTATCTCGGAGTTCATGGGCACATCTTTTGCAACACAATCCACGCTGTCGCAAGTGGGGCCCCAGATAGTGTATCGATGCTCCTGGAGTTTCCGCCGAGTATCATTGTCGTGGCTGTGAAATGGCCAAGTGTACGCGACCAAGGATGGCCGCACAGTTTCTTTCTCAATCAGTACGTTCATAAAACTTCCATATACCCCGTCGTTCTGGTAGAGCATATCCGGCTTATCGTGATCATCCGTCCCGATGTGACGCCGTCTGGACAGAATCTTGCACACGAGGGTGTAGGCACTGCGAGCATAATAACGACCCGGCTCGGCAATCAAGCGGACCCCAGAAGGGAACTCTTCTTTGAGAATTGGTCGCAGAGAACATGCAATATCTTCCAAGTTACAGTCCTGGAACCCTCCACCAATGTCCAGAAGGCTCATGTCAAACCCCAAGCTCTTGCCATATCCGAAGACAATCTTGGCATGCCGGATGGCGTTCACATAGGCTGAAGTATTGAACGCCCCGGTCCCTGAAAGGAGATGGTGAATACATTGAGAAACAATGGCCCTGCGGAAGCAACGTACCAACATGAAAACTCACCCCGCACACATCTAACCCTAGTTGTCGTGCTCGTTGCAATAGAGGTAATGAGGTCTCTACTGTGGCACCGAACTTCTCTCCCAGGTTTATCAAAGCATCACTGTCGCTGGCAAAAATTCGCAGGACAAGTTGTGCATTTGGTAGGAAGGTTCGGATGCTATCCAGCTCATCAAGGTTGTCAAAGGTCGTTCGCGTCACACCTGTTCGAGCCGCAAAAACCAAAGAGGAGGCAGATTTACAGGGATTGGCGAAGATGATGCGACCTGGATCGACCCCTAGACTAAGAACTGTACGTAGCTCCTCTATCGAGGCGCAATCAAAGCCTGTGCCCAGGTCTGCTAGAAGTTTGAGTAGATTAGGATCGGGGTTGCATTTCACCGCTGCAGCCGCCGACAGTTAGCATCAAGACGAGGGATATCAGAGCCTTGGATGGGAAGGGGTGGCACACACCAAAAAAAGGGTGTACGTCGGGCAGGTTTACCCTCCATCGGCGGTGCTGGCGGATAACCTGACCCAGATCCGCGACAAAAAAGGGCTCGTCAGCAATTCCCCAACCACGACTGCTCAAACTAAGCAGACGGGTCTGAATTGCCAAATCAATCAACCGCTCTGTCGAGTCCATTACTTCGCAGTGAGGTCTGGCGCAAAACTGGTGTACTGGTGTACCATGGTCGTTAGCGATGGTCACCTTTCTTATGGCAGTACATGCTGACCCGCCGTTCATGCACAGACCATGAAGTCGCTGAATCCCATTACGACATGAATGAGCGGAATGAGCTATAGAACTGTGGCAGTTCAGCACATGCAACCCAGGCTGATCGGGCGATCAGGGTGAATGTACAAAATCACACATACCAGGGTTCAGCCAGCCACTGTCTCTCAATCGTGTTTTTGGCCGATCCAGGGCAAAATTGTAGCTTCCCGTCACCCGTTCCCTGTATTATGAGCTGTAGGAGTGATTAACACTGCAATCCAAATCACAAAAAGCAAGCATAGCTGAATCACTCATGGAGCAGGACGTCAGGGTGTTGTATTCTTGCAAATCGTCACCAAATCCTCTCTTATAGATCAGCCACCGACGCTTCGACCTTACCAATAGCTCCGTTGTGGATCCTGGGGTTCCGGATGCGTTCTGTCGCTGCCAAGGAGGCAAACAAATAGTTTACCTAAGGATCTGCAGCACGTCCCCATTGCCTAGAACACCCTAGAGCGATTGGCTAGGACATCTCGCGACCTGAGCTGCCAAAAAGCAAATCTTGCGCCGAGTTCAGCTGGAGTCTACACTCGCCCTGATGAGCAGGTTTGAGGTATGCTTCTGGTCGCACTTGGCTGATGAGCGAGGACTAGGGCAATTCTGGCCAAATGCACGCAGAAGCATTCTTGTCGATCACCTCTTGGCAACCCCACATCAGCATCAGGGAGTGGCCCAGGCTCCCCTGGCAGATGAGAGACACACCTGGCTGGGAACACATGTTCCCAGCCAAGACCAATCAAACCGCGGGAATCGTACACAGTGAGCCCTTGAGGCATTTACGTGTGTTGCGGATGTCTCCGCAGTGACAAATATCTGCGGGGGTATCCTGCAGCTGCATTCTTCTGCAATGCTTCGTTTTTTCTGGGTTGTGACGCCTGCCAGAGGTTGCATATATGTGATAGTTTGGACGCAAGCGTGTCGCCAAACTCATCTCCCACCATCTTGTCTGGTTGTGATTACTAACCGATAATCACAATCATCAACTCCCAACTCCAACCATCAGATCCCCAACTCAGATTTGCCCAGAGCATTCTTGACTGAGCATTAGGACTGTGTAAAGACATGGTATCAAATGCAGACTCGGCGAGGTTGTCGCCATCGTGGCGCTCTTCTCGATGGTTTATCCTCACCGTCGTGTCCGTTTCTTACATGACGGTGTGTCTAGCCATGGACGTCTCCCCGTTTGGTAGTTTCACTACTGACATTTCCGACTATTAGACGCTGTTTCTCTATGGCATGGTACGCGGCGATCAGGTTCAGGCAGTATGCGCCCTTGCTCAACAGGTTTTAGATCGTCCCTATTATGCCATCCGCCCTGGTCGCTCGCGCTGGGGTGCTGCCGCAGGATAGTATGTATTCGTCCCTAAACTTCAAATGGTATCAGTGATTGGGAAGGGGAAGTTCACTGACTCTTCCTTCCAATGGCTAGAGGTCTACTGGACAAGTATTATGCTCGTCGCGGAAACAGCTGCAGCATTTTTCACCTGCCCCGTTTTTGGTTACTGGGTTGACCGCACGGGGCGGCGCAAAGTTCCTTTCCTGGCTGGTCTCGTTCTACTCGCTGCGTCAATGTGCCTTTTCACGGTCGCACGATCTGTAGCAACGTATATCATTGCTCGACTCTTGCAAGGCGCATCGGCCGCCATAGTTGAGGTCGCCGGTCTTGCTCTTTTGAAGGATGTGGTCGGAAAACAAGGTCTCGGGGAGGCCTTGGGATATATGGGAACAGGAAGTATGGTTGGCCTTATGGCGGGCCCACCCATGGGAGGCCTCCTAAACAAGGTTGGCGGATACTATGCTGTTTGTGCCCTGGGCTTTGCTATTGTCGCCGTGGACGCGGCACTGCGTTTGGCTGTATTGGAGAAGGGCGAGATGGAGCGCGGCAATAATTCAGCCCAGTACAGTACTATTCCTTCAACAGATCCAGAAGACCAAGACGCGGCTTCGGGTGGAAATACTACCCATCCACCGTCAGGCTTAAATGCGCAACGGGGCGTCGCTTTTGCCTCGCTGGAATTGCTGAAGCAACCGCGAGTTGCAATCACGCTTTGGGCACTCGTGGTTGATGGAATTATTATCGGTGCTTTTGACGCGGTGGGTGCTCACGGGGCCTTAAGCAGACCCGATGGATTGCTGACCAAAAATATCAGACCGTACCCAGCTTTGTGGAAAAATTGTTCGGATGGGACTCGTTCGCAGCCGGTCTCATCTTCCTCGTCATGGCGACACCGTCGCTTTTAGAGCCACTGTTTGGTAGGTTGACAACTGAGACCAATACACTTGCCCACCAAAGCACAAAATGCTGATACTTCTGTAGGAAGGCTGTGCGACCGCTTTGGGGTCCGCATCATGGCTGTCATTGGATATTCATTGCTGACGCCTTCATTGGTTTGTCTTCGCTTTGTGAGCCATGACTCCGTCTCCCAAAAGATCCTTTTCGGCGTGTTGGTTGCTTTCTGCGGCATCTCTCCCGATCTTGGGCACCCGGGATTGTACGTCGAGTCTCAGATGGTGATCGAAGAGATGGAACAGCAGTCCCCCGGAATTTTCGGTGAGAAAGGGGCGGTTGCTCAGGCGTTTGGTCTGCAAACCATGGCTAACTACGCTGGCCTGGCCATCGGTCCCATCCTGGGTGAAGCTCTGTTTGACAACTATGGGTGGAAAGCTATGGCTTTGGCCTTGGGGGCACTGTCTGCAGCCACGGTAGTGCCCTCCTTTTGGTTAAGTAATCGGACCTATGGCCATGAGACTGAGGAGGCGGAAGAGGAACACCTGACAGTAGCAGCACCGACCCCCTATGGGACCCTTTAAAGCGGCTAGCATCGTAGGTATCTAGAGCGTGACCAGAGTAACTTATGAACTCCTCATCAACCACGCAGTCATTCCCTCAGCATCCTTCGTATCACGATTAGTAGATCATCCTGTCGTTTGTACTAGGAGTGCGCATGAGGCTGCTTGGTGGAGCCAATTTCAGCTACCCAGCTGCCGCGGTGACCCTGTTCTCACGGTGCAGTTGATTCTGTGGCGCAATTACGTTTTCCTTTCAGCCCTGCCTCCATAATTTTCATTTTCTAGACTGAAGATCCCGGATTCATCAGCTCTCACCCTCAGCTGCAGCTCCTGATTGGCCTCGGGGACTCGGGGTTGGATGTGATCTATGCATGATCGCCTGTATATCCCGCCAATTACAAACCTCTTATAGCGAAGAATGCATGGGCTGCCTTCTATGAGACTTGGAAGCGGCCCCCGGGTGTTCAGCTGAACCTCAAAATCAAGGAAAGCTGATATCGTACTGCTGACTAGCGGTAAATTGGGCGTCTACCTACTGCCAGTATGGTCTAGGGACAACCGACATAGACACCGCACACACTCCTTTCATGCCTATAAGACGCTTCTTTTCTTCATCCATCTGGCAAATTGTCCCAACTGCGAGTTGTACAACAAATCTATCCTGCTAAAAGGCTATTCCCGCATTATGTTGCCTCCTCTGGAAACTGGTCGCTTCTTTTTCCCGCCCGAGTGGCATCCTCATCTTGCTACCATACTTGGTTTCCCATCCCGAGCATCGACTTGTGACGAGCTCCACGATGACAACTGCAGTGAAATAGTCGACCTTGCCGCTGCGATCGCAGAGTTTGAGCCCGTTCGGCTGTACGCGCGTCCAGAAGACGTATCTGCTGCCCAGGACCTTGTTAACCGCAAGGTAGCCGATCCCTCCCAAGTGAGCGTCGTCCCCACGCCCATCAACCACTGTTGGGTACGCGATACTGGCCCGGTGTATGTTCACGACGCGTCCGGCGAGTTAGATCCAAAGCAGCGACTGGCGATCAGCTTCGAATTCAACGAATGGGGCAATAAAAACGGATGGGAAGGTATCGATGGGGATTACCGATTCGCCAACCCTTCCATGACGCCGAAATGTTTGCAGGAGAACACCGACTTCGCTCGGAATGTCATCGAGAGCGACACCACCCCATCGCCCGTGCAGCTGGTCAAATCACGCATCCGCACGGAGGGCGGCGGTCTCGTCGTCGACGGCGACGGCACCTTGATTGTTGCCGAGAGCTATATGGTCTGCGACCAGCGCAACCCTGGCCTGAGTCGTGATGAGATCGAGGTAGAACTGCGCCGGGTCCTTGGCGTGGAGAAAGTTATCTGGGTTCCTGGACGGAAGGGACTCGATATCACCGACTGCCATGTGGATGCTGAGGTGCGATTCATCCGCCCGGGTGTCCTCGTCTGGTCACGCCATCACCCCAGTGTTCCACAGGTGTGGTTGGACATGTCCCACGAGATCCGCCACATATTGGAAAACGAAACAGACGCAAAAGGCCGGAAATTCGAACTGCATGCGATTGATGAGCCCGGCCCGGCAGACCTCGGGATCGAAGAGCACGACGAGTTCGTTTCTGGGTACGCCAATTTCTATTTCTGCAACGGAGGAGTGATTATTCCTGGATTCGGCGTCGAGGAGTACGACCGCAAAGCGAGGGAAACCCTGCAAAAGCTGATGCCGGAGCGCAAGGTGCGACAGGTGCAACTCAACGCCATTCCCTTGAGTGGTGGTGTGATTCACTGTGTGACACAGCAGGTTCCAATGCCAGTAGCATAAGTATTTGCTCTATCCCTCATCGTGTTCCCATGCCTTTGCAAGATCGGCGTATACTTTTTTGGTGTACGCTACCTCTGGAGCCAACATGTATGCCCTCAACCTGTCAGTCTCTTATATGCGAAGGATTTCTACTGTTTGCGAAATTTTGTTGAATATAGCTCTACATGTCTATACCTGAGTGATGGCTCCTTGCTTCCTAGTGTTTACGCGACTCAACATGTTTTGAAGCTCCCTTTCAATTTTTCCATGCCGTGTATCTTCAAATAGTTGGGAGTCTTGCCTAGAGCTTCATTATCGTAAGCGAAGAGCTATTGGCCAACTCTTTTGAGGTAGAGTTGAGGCTTTATTTGAATAGCGCGTAGAATACTTAACAAGGGACTTGTTATACATCTCCCACTCAGCCAAAAAGGTGTCTAGACAACCATCTCTAGCTAATATGGATGATAGCAGTAGCAGGAGGGTCAACTCAGCAGCGATGACACGACAGGACTCATTTACCTTCACTTTATCCTTATTTTCCTTATCCCATTACTCACGTGATCAAATGGGCCCTATCCGAAGAGGGATCGAAACATAAGAAGGTTCGAAATGCTTCGGAAGTTGGGAGAATCGCATGGATTCACAGAAGAATACCAAACAGGACCTTATTAACAAAGATAATGTTGTTAGCTGACGATCGCCTGCTACTGAGGAGTGGTACAATCATGCTGTTGACCGGTGGAGAATGTAAGAAGAATCTATGCCACCTGAAAGTTAAAAGTAGAGGATATTAATTGCCATAACAAAATAAATGGATGCTGTCAAAACACTAGCCTGGATATCTGTATTTCAGAACAGACAACCTCCATCCTCCTATCGGTATCCTTAAGCCGTTCGCCGAGAGTTATATTATGCTTCGTGAGGGCCCTTTACCAAGTCAGCACAGTGTCTTGCACAATGTTTCCTGTTTTATAAGTGAATGGGAAAGGGCGAGATTGGTTCAATTACCGGAGACTATTGAGGATGACGCTTATAATATTTATTTACTATTTCCCCTTATTATTTGACGTCCATATTAATGGTTGGCAGCTTATCAAGAATGAACTTACCCCTAAGTATGGGCTCAGCACCAAGCATAGAGAAAAGTTTCCTGTTACAAGAGTGGACCTCGACATTCTTATTAAGCACTTCTATGAGAATGATCAGCATGATTATGTCCACGAACGTTGTCGCTTTCAACAGGCCTTTGGCCTGTCAATGTTTTCCTCGTCCGGAGCCAGAGCAGGGCCTATTGTGGAGTCGACTTTTTACGAAACTCTAACGGGGCTATATATTACAAGGTGATATATATGTGTCTGGAGTTGCTCAATGAAAAGTAAACCTAGATCCAGCGGAAACCAGCATCATTATCACGGAAGGGCTTCCCAGCAGTCTATCAATCACTTGCACAGTCTTCGTAGAGACAGCGATCCGTATGGCTCCCAGAAGAATGGGAAGAATAGAGACAGGTATTATGGGCAGGGGAATATTAAACATGCTGTAACCGACAATATCTCCCCCACTTAGCTTTGTAAGGGAAAGGTGACTATCAGTCACCTCACGCATGCAGAGAGAGGGACCAAGGAGTCCAAGGACAATGGTCGGTACTCGGTGCTAGTGTAAGGATGAAAGTCCTCTTAAAGGGGTCACTGACTGTCTGACATTGAGAGGCGGCGGAGGCCTTTTATCTGATAAAGGGCCGGGATTGGTGATAAATGTCCTCCCTTGTCAGTCCGGTATCAACACTACTAACGTTTACTTTTGCCTTTTCTACTTGCCATAAACAAGGAAAGTTCAACTTGACTAATGAAACTTCCATTAGGCTAAAAGTGTGCCTATACAAACTGTTCTGCTACATCAGCCTGTGTGGACCTTCCCTTCATCGCTTCCATTCCATGTCACTGTTCTCGTCACCTGATTGCAAGTTATAACAACTGCATTAGGGCAGCTCGGATCTGCAACATATCAGCAACCTTAGTGATACATGTCATCATAGTCTCCCTCAATTCCAAGTGAAGCAGCTTCGCTCTCTTCTGCGTCTGAAAACTCCTGCCACGTAATATCGCCCGTTGAGTCCAATACTGGTTTCACGTGAACAAGGGAATCATTGATAAGTGGCTTAAGGCCTCCAGGAATATACCACTGCTTCCCTCCTCCTGGCTGACCAAACCATGGCAGAATTTCCCCTTCCAGAGCACTCAGGGTTTTGATCACCTTATACGCCCAATAGTTGTGCGTAGGGTTTCCGGCCCGTGGGTTGAGGTTACCCCCGGTATCGACCGCTTTTCGAATGGAGTCAGCCTCGGTGCAAGGTACCCGCCATATGGTGAGCCAATCCGGTCCACAATGTCCCCGACACTCGGGGAGCCCGATGACGGGCAGCCCTTGAATCCGTTGTTTGGTGGGTAAACGTAACTACCCTTGCCATTTGCCGCAGTGAAATTGGTCCATGTGCATAACCAGTCCTTGGGACATTGGGCATCCAGCGCCTTATAGTTGTTGAATATGGGCGCTAATTCTGGGACTTGGAGCGTGAAGTTCGCAGGTCCAAGAAGTTTATTACTGCAAATGCAGCTGCTACAGTCGTACGCGAGTTGATAGCAGGCATTTGTGCCACAGGTCGCGGGGTAGTCCTCTGCCTGCATTCACTGTTAGCATGAATACCGGGTTGACCAGTAGTTGTAGACATCCTTACGATAGCGTCCGGAGAGCACAACGCTGGTAGTGCTAGGAGCAGAAGTGTTGCAAAGGTACTATAGGTCATGGTGAGTTTGGCAGATGCACAACGTGAAACAGAAAGTTAAATAGGAGGAAGCAGTTAAAATAAGACAGTGCTTTTGATGGCATGGCTGTATTTGCATTGCTTGGTGCGTGATTGCATTAAATACTATGGCAGATGTTATCCACTTGTATCCTTCCTTCAATTGTTGGCCAGCCGGATTTTGCCTTGGACGCCAGGGATGTGATAGCAGAGGAAGCTGCTATTTCTGTGTAACAAAAATCAACTAGGGCATGCTGGTCATGGAGATTCTCATGTTATATGGAATCCAAACTCGCAACAATAATAGGGTAGCCTGAAATTATCAGGAATGATTGACGGTATTTGATTTGCGAGTCTGCTTATCTATGACTAGCTAATTCACCTGGCCACTTATGCAGTGTTTCTGTTCCATATTGGCTCGTGTGCATGGCAAACATTTTGTTTGTGATAGCCAGAGGGCTTAGTCAAGCTCCCAAAAGGTGAGTTGGTATGTCTCACGAGCATGACAGAGTGAGAGGGAGCTAAGGACACGCTGTATATACACGGTAGTCCCTACATACCAGCTGAGCAAGATCTCCTCCTCAAATACTGAAATCACAAGCGGCTGGGAGACAGACATGTAAACACACTCTTGATGCTTGCCAGAGAGAAAAGCTACGCTGTAGCCAAATTTCTCCTGTGGAATGGAGCTATCAAGCCGTATTTTATTTCTGGCGTAGCTAGGACGGGAACCCTGGTCGTCGACAAGGCGCTCAGTTTTGATCGTCTGGGGGAGTGTGAGCCAGATAGTATTGCAACACTCATTCAGCGCTACGAATCAGATACAATAGACGGCGAACCATACACTGCACGATAGATTTTCGGGCTTAAGTTCATTGTTTGATAAACTCGTAGGCTGTGCTGATGCCAGGGTACCTGTGGTAAACACTCGCTAGAAGGAAGAATTTGTGTTGCAGATTGCCCCGTCGCTGATTTGCTGTGTGTGCATTGATGTAAGAAATTAATGAAGCCTTTCCTTCCGTCATAGATTGATCAGTGGAATTCCGTCAGGATTTTTGGTGCACATAATAAGGCTCCATGGACTGCGTATACAATTCGCGACGTTCCCAAATTAATATACCACCTGATAAACTGACTTCCGGGCAGTGAATATAGTAGATGCCCCTACAGGGAGGAGAGATCCCTGAATGCTTCGGGCAGTCGATCAGATCACGTTCTCCGGTTATGCTGAAGAATACTACATGTAGCCTGGGGAGATAGGAGTGTGTATATCAATTTGCCACTCTCATATAGCAGATAATTTGACTTCATAGCATGAATTGAATAAGTAAGTTTCTTGCAAACCAACACCAACCGGAGAAGACGGAGTTGATCGACGTAAACTAAAATCAAGAACAGAGGTTGATTTTCGGTCTTTACTAGCGCAGCTCACGTCTTAGCGCGTCGCGCATTTGCAGCTTGTTGTTCTCGTCGCTCTCCAAAAGGAGGTCATATTTATCTGGGAAGACTTTTATTGAAGCATCAGTTGGGTATTGAGCTGTGCCAACGTGGACTGTGACATGCAGCCCCTTGAGGTGTTCCAGAGGAATCTCTTGGCCAGACGGCTGCGGAACGCTCTGTCAGCGTGTGAGGTCTAGGGGAAGTTGAAAGAGGGAGGAGAGCAATAATACCGTAGAGACAGTCCAGAAAAGCTGGTCTTGTAATTGGACTCCAACATGACCGAGCACCAAGCTGGTTACATCGGGGAATTCCGTATCCACCGCTAAATTGCAGACAGGGAGGGTGATCGGTACTTGTGCTTTTGATTTCACACCACTCTGTTTCTGGTCTGCACAGTTTTCACAGTCAGGCAGCACAGGAGCAGAGAAATTAAAAAAGGAGCCCAGATGCCGAGTTTGCCCCACTCTGCCGGGCTGGTCTTTCCCCTTCACGTAGAAATCAACAATATATGGCTCGCCATCCAGCGCGTACCTGATTTCGGGGTCTCAGTCAGATATAGCACGTTGGCGATTTTAGATATCAAAACGTACCGATCGTATTCAATATTGATGAGATAGTCATTAAAATAATGCTCTTCAACACCGTCGACCAGGCGCCCTTCGGTTGTTTTCATCTCCTTGAGAACTGTGACACTGTTACCATATTTGCTGCTGATAACCCTCTTCAGCTTGTCGATATTGGTATTCACCAATTCAGGATAAGTGTAGCCCAATTTTGTAAAGTCTCTAGCACCATCTGAAGAGTAGATTTCCCCTTCAGTGTTCTTATGAAAAGGCTTTAAGTTTTTCAGGGCAGGGTCCCGGTCATCTCCCCATGTGTTGTCAAACCACTTATCGGCATTCAAGAATTGCCATATAGCAAACAGCCGGTCGACATTACTTGCCTGCTGTCAGCGTATTGCCTGGCAGTCGTGCGAGGATGAGGGAGGTCCTTACCAGTGGTGCAGCCAGAAGACAGGATCAAATGCTGCGACAGGCACATTCGCCATGTGACCCTGCAGTCCGCTGGATCCTCCTGTCCAGAGCTGGCGGTGTCAGTTTTGGTGCTTCAGTACCTTCACGGAGTCCCCTACATGGATATGGTTATGGATCTCTTCTAAGGAGAAAAAGTCGGTGGCGATCTTAATCGGAAGCTCGTTTTTGTATCGTGTACTCGCAAACGTTCCATACGATTTAAAGTAATTATCGCTGAGGATGCGGAAAACGTTGTGCGCAATAGTCTGATTGCCTCCGCCCTGTTTCCAGGCGTGTTTGGTAAAGCTGCTAGTGACCTCATTGTTATTCTGCACCCCATTTACCCATTTCATGCTGTCGTTGGGGTCAGCATAGCGGCTGGTACCAATCCAATTGCTGAAGATGGGTTTTTTTGTAAAGTCGATGGCAAAGTCCCCCATTTTTTGCTTGTCACCCACATTCACCTCTTCGCCGTTCAGTTTATTAGTGAACTTGTAAAGGGGATTTGGAACCGATTCCTTCTCCTTTTCTCCAAGCTTGAGGATCCAGACTTGGCTGTCAGCCACGAGCTTCGGGACACCAAGCTTTTCCTCATGGGCTCCGTAGTCAACTTGAGGAAGAGCCCAATCCCAGTAAGGGAGACGCCACGTCTCCGCTGCCTGCTTCCAGGCCTCCTTTGCAGAGTTGCTATCTGGAATGGTGGGAATGATTTCATTCTTCATGATGTTGTAAAGACATTGCTACATAGCGTCATTAAATAGTGCGCCAAAGCATTGCAGGGCTGCAGCATTGCACTATACCTCGTACAACAACATATAGGGCCGATGCCATGTGGGAAAGGTAAATGTATTATGGGGACAGTAGTATCCACCCTCTGCACCGTCCCACTCCACTATAGGTAAACCATGGATCCCTGCGGTATCGTTAGTATGCGCTTGTTGCAAGAGAAATTAAGCCATTGCCTACCAGCAATTTGGTAGAAGGAGAGTTTATCCTTAATTGGATTCTTTTCTTGCAGCTTGCGCACAGCTCGAATAAAGAGAGAGACTTGAATTTGGTCAACAGGCTCGGAGGATACCGCCCAGCTGGAAATCTCTCGCCGTGGAGGCGGGTCTTGTCCAACGGGAACCGGGATGCCGGTAATGGGATAGTAATTAGCCATGGTGAAGAGAAGATGGTGTAAAAATACAGGTAGTCAAGACGAATAGATTCTTGTCAAGAGAAATATACTGATTATGGTTGATGTGCCTAAAGACGGACAGCTCAAGTAGTGGGAGCTATTCCTTTATTTAAGCCGTCTTTCCTGCCCGGAGTGGTAAACGGGACCTCTCTGATTACCATTACAATCAGGAGGTCAATATTAGGTCCCAGTGGGCAGCAGCCCATGTAACGTAGATGGCCTTCCGCTTGCATCGTTATTCGGGCCTCTGAAATCATCCTTTGTGCCGCTAATCCGTTCTGCGATAATGCAGAACTTCCCTAGATTAAATGGCAGTGGGAGGTATATTCAAATCACTTAAGTCACAAGATACATTACAAAAAGCCCAACCAGGGTATACCCTGTGGTTCAAGCAATCCGACAGTAGATGCGGCAACATAGGAATAGCCATGGTCAAATCCACGGCAGCTTTCCAGGTGTTGAGTAAAGAGGTTAGAATCCAGGACGCAGTATGTAAGATCACAATACTCGTTGCACGGCTACAATTGGTTAGTTGATTGCTGTGCTGTGAACTGGCCTGGACGTTACCGACCCCTGCTACTGTACATCGCAGCCTCGTCAAACAGTATTAGTTTTTTGGCGTCGCGCAAAGTCCAGGCCTCAGCGATTAAAGATGTGTCGCCATCTACAATCCGATTCCATCTCTAGACTCGTGTCTTCAATACTTACTCAATTTCTCTAGATTGGACATTAGAATCCGTCATATACCTTGGCTCTGGAGTGATATGTAACCTTGCGAGGATAACAAGGGATCATATTTTCGCAACCTTTTTCCCAAAGCGGATATTGACGTAATAAGACGATGACCGCTACAATGCGACACATTCCGAACCAAGCCAACCATCCCTATATTTTATATAAAATAGCACTTTTCAAGGTTCTGATATGTTAATGACCAAGCATCTACAAGGCCCAAATTGAGGCATGAGGTATAGTACAGTTATTTATAAGCTGTAGCCTCCTAAGACTGTGTATATAGAGGTACAGATGGGTAAACAAACATATTTACCTTTCTACATATTACGAGAGAAGACTACTATCTTAGGGCCCTAGAAAAGAGGATTGTAGACTTTTAACTACACATAATTTAAATATCTCACACACATATATATATGCATATAAGACCATTGTTGAGACATCAGGGCCTCGAAACATATGGAATACAGAGATGGATGGCTTGGTTGGGAATTCCATTACTCTCGACCAAGTAACCATCTTACAGACTATGTCAACATAACTTAAAATGCCGAAAGGCCCTTAGCACTAGGCCCTACTTAGTGGACTGCAGGGTACAGAACCTTAAATCATAGCTCTCCATGCTGAGCTGATCTTTGAAGCACTCTCCGCTGGGCTACATTCCCAGAATATTTATAGACCGGCGGAAGCTGCAATTCAAAGGCAATTACCGGCCTTCTTCGATCCGGACTATTTGTCCTGTGCACACTGTCTTCGGAACCCATAACCCAAATCCTAATGTTTCGCTTTTGTCCCTTCTCATTCTTACTGTTTCAGCCGTCAGGGTCAGAAGATGCCTCATCCAGTTGGTGCTGGGATGGACATAGCTAGAGAAGGGATAATTATTAGCACACTTGCACATGTCTGCAACGAAAACGGAAGAGTATGCTTTGTGAGACGCAATGTATCAATCCGATGTATTAACCAATATGTAACCAACAGTTAACTTCAGACTGTGCCGCAAAATAAATTTGACGCCAGGGAGATCTACGCGTTGATTGGATACCATTGACTCTTACAGCGTTTTTTACAAACGCGGAATAACAGTGATTGATGGTCGACAGCAGCATGACAAATAAAAGTTGCATAGCCCCCAGCCATGACTGTTACTCTACCACTACGACAACTGCGACCTGCCTGACTAGCTATTGTCCTAGGGTAAGCTTACTGAGAGGAGCGGATCAACGCTGGTATATCTCACAACCTGCCCCATCCCCTCTGGCGGCTATCGCATCCATAATCCAGAGATGGATTTGTCCCAAGAAGAACGACGTCACTGCGAGATTTCAGAAGCTAATTTATGTTTTGTCAAATTTCGGTCTTGCAAGTCCCACTTTTACGGTATAGTCGCACCTATTTGAGTGAGTCTTGAGAACTATGTCGGATTACCCGAAAAGGCGCATGCTTCAACATTTACACAGGAGTGTAATGACCATTACTGCATCATCACCTCTGCAAAATGAACAGTGCCCAACTACGCCTACAAGAAATAGTTAATGACCCAAGTTTCGTCGCAGTAGCTCAGTTATCATTGCCTCCCTTTATTAAGTCTATTTGGCCTGTCTACTGCACGACACGCTGACGTGGCCAATCAGCGTACCGTAGTATAAGACTAGGTTGATTGGGAGCCAGTCAAGACTGTGGGTAACCCGAGGGGACCAGCAAGTGTGGCTGTGGAACGATCTGATATTATGTGAAAATAGGGTCACCAAGTATGTATCTAGTGCAGCCGGGCGAATGCCCCGGAACAGCAGCTCAGGCAAGCACAAGCTCCTATGTTTACTTCAATATACCATCCACACATCTCAGCTCAGAGACCAAATACACCGTTTCGTTTATTTTGTTCGTTCCATTTGTTGAATAAGCCGCCAGAATAGGCCAATCCATTTAGCCTTGCTACCATTCCACAGTCAGCAAACGGCCAGTAGCCAAATGGTTGCTACCAGATCGTTGACTTGCCACGATGCAGAGAGATGTAGTGAACTGCACCTTACAGTATGCCTGCATGTCAATGAGACAGCGGCCACACCGCTACTTGCCCCTACTTGCCTCTTGAGTTTCTGGCCATGATATATTGACATAAATAGGGGCCATATGCCCCTGAAACGAAGAAGAAAAAAAAAGCCCCGGAAGAGTAAAGCTGATATTTGATATTTGCCCCAATGACAATCCCCGCACAATATGATAACCCGGCGTTCTTCGCCAAATACTCCCAATTGCCCCGAAACTCAGGCGGCCTGACAAATAGTTTGGAATGGCCCATCATAAGCCGCAACATAGGCCAAGTGACCAACCAAACTGTGCTTGATCTGGGCTGTGGCTATGGTCAGTTCTGCGGCTGGGCCTCAGAAAACGGGGCTGCCTCTGTGCACGGTATCGATGCTTCTGCGAACATGCTAGAAAAGGCGCGGGAGTTCAACAATGCCGACAATATCACCTATGAGCAGGGGGATCTCGACTTGTCCCTGAAGCACCCCTTGAAACTCCGAGAAAATGCATATGATGTTGTGCATAGCTCCCTGGCATTCCATTATCCGAAGAACCTTGCAGCCACCTTCGCGGCTATCTACAAAGCTCTGAAGCCGGGAGGCCGATTTGTCTTCTCAGTGCAGCATCCTACCTTCTCGGCACCGCGGACTCCAAACTGGGGTTCGCGAAAGGATGGTGGAACGCCTTTTTGGGAGCTTGAAAGTTACGGGTCTGAAGGGCCTCGAACGGTTGATTTTCTGGGCCACCCGCTCCACGTGTATCACCGTACAATGGAGACCTACGTCTCTTTACTATTAGAGAATGGGTTTACCTTGGTGGACTTCAAGGAGTGCATACCTCCTGCTGGGGCATTGCCAGAGGCGCATCCGGATTACGGAAAGGAGGGTCATCGTCCTTTGTACTTGATTCTTGCTGCTGAGAAGGGTTGATGTTTCTAGCTTGGATAGCAGGGTTGCTATTTAGTTCTCCGTCCCGGGTAATCCATGCTTTCTCTACCAAACGATGATGAACCCGAGGTTAGTTACGGTCCCTAGAGATGAGTATGTGGGCTGGACTGAAAGACGTAAATTAGTGCGTAGTGCGTGGAATTAATGCTTGTCAGTGTCTAGATTAGTACCTATCCAGCGTATCTATTATATTACATCTATTACCGCATGAAAGAGACCGATTATCGACAAGGACGAGAAAAGGGATATGCCTCCATCCACAACCCATAATCCCCCTCATCGCACGCGACATCCACCCACGCAAAAGACCGCATCAGCTTCTGCATCTCTGCCCAAGATTGAATATTCAGTATGTGACACAACTTCCGTAATTGTCCCGCATACCAGCACCGTCGCTCCAACTCTCCATCCTGCGCCGCAATGCCCCCGATCATCGTACACCAGAGCACAATCTCACTCTTAGCTTTCTCCTCATCCTCATTCTCATCAGCCAAAGAATCACTGCTCCGGCGGATCGCGTCTTGCAACTGCGGCACCAGATTCTCCCTCGTCGGCCGCGTGGCTGAGATCGGGAATGTGACGTGTGTACTGAACAGGAACGCTGCTAGCCAGCATGCGCGGTAGAGTTCCATTGTCGTTGCCATGGCTGTCTGTTGTTTATCTTCCTCGACTCGTTCATGCCCGTCGTTGTTCTTGTTCTCGAATATCCCCTCCAAAAACACCTGATCAGACGGTTTAGGCAAGCAAAGCAGCCGATGCTGCACCAGGTTCCGGACATCACCCAGTCGGTCGATGGCCATGGCATCGTCCTGTCTCGGCAGGTGCAGGTGCAACTGCACCGCCTGCGCGAACTCGCTCAGATCGAGCAGAGTGCTGACGACCGATTTCTTAATTCGTAGCGTCTGCAGTTGTCGGAATCCGCCGCTGCATAGGGTCTTGTGCCACGGCCGGACTGAGATTTGCAGGATTTGAAACGGCGAGTCGCTTCCGTACATGTTGCCTGTGGGGTCGATGATGGGGAATTCGGGTGTGGATGCGGTGAACATGGTGTATTTCAAAGAGGTACTTTTCACAGTCATTAGTATTCTGGTTTTATATCTCGATTCAGACGAAGACAGCTGCTGCTAGTACAGACTTACTAGGATAGAAACCACGGCGCCCCGTACAGTTTCACCGTATTCAACCCCCCATTCCGCATGACCAACTGCGTGATCGCATTCCAATGCACGCCGTGGAAGGAGCTGAACCCGTAGGAATCCAGACCCTGCAGGTCTTGCAGAGGCGGATTGAACGGGTTATAGTCCTTGGCCAGCGATTCTTGAATATCGTCGTGGACCGCCAGAAAACAGATACACAGATCTCGTCGAGGGTGCGTGTGCCGATGATCGGCCCCGTAATGGCCGACCGCAGCGCTCGCAGCGCAGCGCCCTTGTGGTAGAGCTGTTCGGTTGCCCGGCTGGGGTAGTTGATGGCTCCGTTGTTCTGGGCCGTGCGTTCGAGATGGACCGATGGGGCCATGCAGGTTGAGTGGAATAATAGGGGGGACCATGTCCCCTTGAGGTAGGCCTCGAAGCAGCCCTCGATCCAGGCGTGAGTGCGGCGGAGAGAAGGGACGAGGGTTGTGAAGACTGGACTTGTCAGTCAGTGGTGACGAAGATGAGGATGACGATGAGCCCTACAATGATCCAGCAGCTTGTAATACCCCGGATGGCCGCGTCCATTCGCGGGTCCTCCAAACGAATCTATCTCTGCGTCTGCGAGACGAGTCAAGTGCAGTTGCACGATGCGGTTGATATTGCGCTTGGTCTTTTGGATGACACTGTTGTGGCGAGCGTTGACGGCCATTTCCGCTGGTTTTCCGCAGTGGTTACAGACGGTGCTCGTGCCCGTCTCATGCCCTGCGCTGATGAGCGCGCTGCAAAAGGCACAGCAAGACCGATCAGCATTGCTGCTGCTCGCTAGGCCGGACTTGGTCGAATTCAGCAGTTGTGCTTGTCCTGATCGCATGGTTGCTTTCGACCTGTGAGACAACGCTAGCTGGTGGTGATGCCCCCGCATGCTGGCTGCAAATTTGTCGATCGATTGGTCCACATGTGGATTCAGCTGCTCTTGAGATCGCTCCTCTGGCGGCAATCTCTCTTGATAAATGCGCCGCATCAGTTGGGACCGGATCCAGCGACGGTCGTTGATGGTGCCCGCGGACCCCAGGCTGGGGCCATTGATGAAGACGAATCGATCCGACTGGTCCATTTTCTATGCAGGCATGATCGTTGTAGTTGTACCTCTTCTTCGATAAGCAGACTCGATTCACTGTCTAGACTCCAGTGCTCGCGATGCCTTTAGGGGGAAGCATGACTAATACAGAGTAATTAGGTTAACAAAATCAGTGTATGTGGGGGCCAGAATGCTGTATGATAACATTTTTGCACGACATAACTATAGCTGCTTTGGTACTAGTGCTTTTTATGCATATATCCCGGCAGTGTCACTGGTGATGACAGCGGCGCATACTTTCTCAAGACATTCATCCTGATATAGTCCAACTATCATCTAGCAATGATTGGGCCGCAGATTTCGGGGATTCCCGCCAAAGTCCCATCCACCCCTTATCAGGACGTTAGGGATGCGATTTCTATACGTTGGGCGATCGAAGGGACATATCTATGGCAATAAGGGACCCGTTCATATCTGAAGTCAGTCCCACGGGAATCGGGATTACCCCATGAATTAGGGACGGAAAGGGGAAATTCCCCTGGGCCCAAAAGCTTAATATGGTATAAGTCTTGGCATTCCCATTGCTGTCCCTTTCCCATAGAAGTTTTCAATCTTCAGCCCGATTCTCTGGCAATGCACGATATACTCGGCTTTTGCTTATTGATTCCTTTCAAGGCCATTTCCTACCGTACATTATACTAAATACATACGCCGGCCTAAATCTAATAGCTTATATAGGGCTTCAAGTCATAGACTCACTTTGCATCCTTCACATTATCCACAATGATATTATCAACATGGAAAATATCCTCGCTCTTAGTCAAAGCAATCCTTTCCTCCTCATTCAATTCCTTTGCGCCTCTCGCAAGCCTGAGAATGGTAGCCGTCGCGAGTTCGGGCTTGCTCCCGTCCCCGAAGAGCCGATATTGCGCACTCGAGCACATCCCGAAATACACCGCGTGGAGAATGGTCATCGCACGGATTGGATTCGAGGTGAAGATTCGCGAGAGGAGGCATCCGAAGGTCGGCGCTGCGCCGAGATCGTTGGCTAGCGAGTCACAGTATGGGAGGAAGTGGGCAGAGACGGTGTGTCGGTCGGATTGGATCCACTGTTGTAGTCAGTACCGTGAGTGATACGGACTTGGCCTTTTGAAGGCAAAGGAAAGAAAGAAGGAGAAAGTTACCTGTCTGCGCCGTTCCTCCTCTTCAGATGCGATCAATTCGGACATCCTTTCAGCGGGTGGGAGCTTGATCCTCCCCGTTAAAATGGCAGTGACCCATCGCGCTTGCAATTCCACGGCGGGCTGAATCGGCCCGGGTAGTTGAAACACGCCCATGATAAATAGATTGCGGACATGAGGAGGAGTCGTCAGTCGGTATAGATGCACCGAGTTTGGTGAGTCCATGAACTTGCTGTGTTTGGAGCGATAGCAGTCTTCGGAGATAAATGGGTAGTCAATATCATATCCGGTACAGAGGATGATTGCGTCCAGATTGTCGATTGTCTCTCCATTCGTCAGGGACAATCCTGTGGCCGTGATCTCTCCCACGCTGGCGCGGTGAGGGGTGATTCGTCCCACTTTGATATTCTCGATCAGCGTCGAATGGACTGCAGGATTCGCTCCGAGAATATCGTGCTCCGGTTGCAGTTCAGGTGGCAGTTTCCCCTCTACGAGCTGGACGAGCGTTGTCAGGCTCCATTTCGAGATGGATGCCGGGAGCACCGATTGCGAGAACCGGCCTGGTTCAGTTGTCACGTCAGGTCAGATCAACTGAGTCAAGAAGGTATGAATATAGAAACGAACTCACTATTCCATGCATGTATCGACTTGCCGAATATATACCGTGGGAACACCCACCCTCCTCTTCTCGTCACAAGGTGGCATTCCTCCGTCTGCCCGCAGAGTTCGGACGCAATGTCGGCAGCAGAATTACCGAATCCGATAATCGCGACTCTCTTCCCACTGAACCCTTCTGGTCGGCGATAGATATGACTGTGGAAGATGCGCCCCTGAAACACTTCCATCCCCTTGAACGCTGGGATGTGTGGTTTGGTGCTCTTGCCCGAGCATACCAAAAGAGCGTCGTAGACTGTTTCCCTTGGCTCTTCGTGTTCTGTTGTGTATTTGATCTTCCACCGGTTGTCTTCCACCTGCTGACATGAAACAACTTTGGTCTTGAACAGGATGTGCTGCTTGAGCCCAAAGTGATCCGTATATTCATGGAGATACTGCAGGAAAGCCCGATGGCCGCAGAAATCCGGGTATCGCGCTGGATCCATGGGGAAATCACTAAAACTCGACGTGTCGCGGCACGTGTTGGAAATGGCGCCCTCGTACATGGAGGACTGGGCCTCGCTGGTGGCAGGGTCGGGTTCTTCATAGTACCACTGGCCGCCGATGTTGTCGCGGGCTTCGAAAACAGTCACTGAGAATCCTTCCGCGAGGCTTTGCTTTGCTGTGGCAAGGCCCGATATGCCTGGAAGTCTCGTGATAAAATAAGTCTGCTGCTGATCGCGATCAGATAGGGATACGCACCGGCTCCGACAATTGCAACTTTTATTGTCATGTTAATCTCTGTGATAGAATTCAAGTTATAGCTAAGGAGAAGGAACACTGCGAGTATAGCAGCATTTGATCTTATATCAAGAGAATAAGATCCAAGCTCCTACCTAATTAGCTATAGTGGACCGGACACAGCTCAGCTGGTGTTGGCAAAAGCTCACCAGGTGCAGCCCAGCCGGACATCGCCGCCACTTTAACACTATAGCATTAATTTAAATGAGAATGTTAGTAAATTCATGCTTAATATATACTTAATATTAGGAAATAACTATTAAAGTTTGATTTGTTTTGATGTCAACAAATGCGTAAACATTAATTTCTTTATTTAATATTTTATTTTAGTACACATCGTACTGTAATAGGTAATATAGACGCAGGTACTGTGGTACTGTACCCTAATAGGATTTAGATTAGCGTTTTCAGCCGTGGGCTGAGCTGACTCGGAGACTGCATATCAATGACCCCCAATTAGTAGGTAGACGCATGGACACTGTCGTTCAGGGTAGTCTGAGTAGAACCGTACCGGATCCACCCCTTGGCCCCCATTTTATATGACGGTAGGAATTCTAGCTTGCAAAATCCTCTAATTACTAGGGTTAGTGCGGCTGATAAAAGACAATTACCAACTGGTCAATGCTTCTTCCTTAATCGGCCTTAGGTTTGAAGCGTCGAGGATATATGTAGAGATAGTTGATCAATTAATGATAAAGCTGATACACTTGCTTATCCCTGCAATTGTCATTTCGATTACTTCTCCCATGACCATCCTGTAAAAAAAAAAACCATTAAAATCATGACCACAGGCGTGGCGACCATAGTCCTCTGGTCGGTGCTCCTGGCCATCACATCGAGATACGCCATTTGGTACGTGTCAACATTCCGAAAAGCCCTGCGCATCGAAGGTTCGACTCCTCTACCAAGTATCCGGATCTACACCCCTCGTTATTCACCTCTGATCTATGTGATTTCGCCGTACATCGCCCCACTATTCAAATACCTGCCCTTCGGCTGGGGTAAATAGATGCGATATGCCGTCCGTGACGGGATATGGCAGCACAAGGGGACGCTGCCGCGCAAGGAACTCGGTTCGGACGTGTACTGGATGCTGGGACCGGGCGGACCTCAACTATGGGTTGCCGATCCCGATCTGATCAGCGAGATCACGCACCGATGGAAGGACTTTCCGAAGCCGGTTATGTACTACACGCAGCTGCAGCTCTTTGGCGAGAATGTGCTCACGGCCGAGGGTCCGCTGTGGCAGTTTCATTGGAAGATTACTATTCGGTAGTTCAATCCAAAGAATAACAGGTTCGTGCGTCTGTAATCTACTGTCATGCAAGCTCTGACATTAGTACAGCCTTGTTTTCGCCGAATCTCAGGAGCAGGCCAAAGCGATGGTCCGTTCGTGGTCCAAGGAGAGCAGGGAAAAGCGAGAGTCAGCCTCGTCCGCGATCACCGTCGACGATCTAGAGAACTCGGTCAGGAAACTGGCTCTGCATATCATTTCCGCGGCGGGATTCGGCCATCAAATGCAATGGGACGGTCAGGAATCCAATGCGGCAGAAACCTGGGACAACACCAAAAGTTACTTTCGCAGAGAGTCTAAAGACATTTGTGGATGAGGTCTGGCTTCTCATGATCTTTCCATCGTGGCTTCGGAAGTTTTCACCGTCGGCTCATCTGCGAAGAGTCCACAAAGCGCCCAGCATCTTTGCGAAACATGTTCAACAGGCCATTAACGAAACAAAAGCTGAGGATAATATGCGCAAATCAGCCCGGAGAAATGATCTGCTCAGCAATATGATAAATAGCGACGGTGTCTCCCATGGCTCGGACAAAGACGGTCTTAGCGACGAGGAAATCACGTCAAATGTCTTCATATTCACTCTTGCTGGCCACGAGACCACTGCCACCACGATCCAGACGGCTCTAACCCTGTTGGCACTACATCCAGACATTCAACAATAGGTCCACAAGGAACTGGATACGATCTACGGAGAGAAGTCGGAAGGCGTAGGACTCGCCTATGAGACAGATTATCCGAAGATGAGACATCTTATTGGCCCTGATGGTAAGTGAACCATTCTGCATCCGCATAAAGTGAGGAAGAATTCCACTAATCTTACCTAGCTGGAAACGCTCCGCCTATTCCCCTCGATATCCGGTATCCCCAAATGGACCGACGACAAACACCAGACTGCGCACTACAACGGCCAAACATTCGATATCCCCCGAATACCAGTATCGTGCTGGACGTGGTGGCCGTCCATCGCAATCCGCGATACTGGGGCGACGACGCACATGTTTTCCGCCCTTCACGTTGGCTCATGGACGAGACGTACGAACCGCCGGCGGACTCGGTCAGCCACTCGAAGCATCATGCGAATCTGTTAGGTCCGCGGAAGGGAGCGTTCGTCGTCTTCAGCGATGGGCATCGTGATTGTCTGGGTAAAGGGTTTGCGCAGGCGGAATTCTGTGCGGTCATTGCGACGTTACTGAAAGATTGCTCGATTGAGTTGGTTCCGCCTGAGGGGGCTACACCATCCGATGAGGTATGGAGTACGATGTGTCAAGACGCATGGAAGGCTCTGGACGACAGGAGGAATATGACGAGCTTCAAAATGTATGGGAAGGTTCCTGTTCGGTTTGTTCCTAGAGGATCAGAATGGCGTCGTTGATCTCTTGTATATTACATAGCATATGTCCTGTATTGGGAAGACTGTTTCATGCATAGTAGCATAGATAGATCTACATATATAATCATTTACGTCTGCGCGGAATTCAGCCCAAATGCGAATGGTATGAGAGTCAGCTCCTGAGCTATACTCTGTAGGCTTGGATTATGTGACTAGCAGCGCATGCGGTTCAGTTAAGCATCTTATAGTTAACGGGATCCAGTAACATCCTGGGTACTGGACAGATTTCCTTCAAAATCACAATACGCGTGAAGATCAATCAGTTTTCGGTTTCTCCAGTTTCTGTCCCTTCATATCACCGACATCACTCTGCTGATGAAGCGGACTCTCCGTCATTTTCAGACCTGCAAATGTCTTGTCACGCACATCCTTGTTAGCATCTTCATCGGCATTACTACTGCTAGGAACTGGGGCGTAGGGATGCGAGACGCTGCCCCGCTGAGGATGGGCGCGGCCAGTATGGATTGCCCCGATATCAGTTACGCGGTCGGCTGTGGAAAGGGCGAAATCTCCAGAGTCGAAATATGTTCGTTCCTTCATCATCAGTCAAGATACGATAGTTGTCGACTGAAAGCAGACGTACTTTTTTAGCCTGCTGGTCGAATAATCTTCCTCTTTGAGGCAGCCTTCCATAGGCGCGAAGGAGACCTTCTTCGTCCTTGGGGGGTGACTAGGATGTATTAGCTAGCAAGAAATCTAGGTTATAGGGTGAGGATGGTACCTCGGTATTTGATTGTTTCTTCTGCTCTGGCTCCATTCTGGTTTGTATAAGGGGTAATAATGTTAGGTACGAGATGTTAACACCGAGACTGTCTGATAGGACCCACTTGAGTTGGGGAATGACGTACATCACAGCGGCAGCCCGCGGAGAGTCACGTGTCAATCAACTTGCAGTAGCACTTGGCCCAATGGAGAGTAGAGATGATCGTATCCGTATATGGTCAATTCAAGACTGAACTGCCTCAATCTGCCTATCATTGTGTCTATAACGCCGGTGTGAAGGGGTATTAGCAAATAGGATAATGCATGGTGAAACCTACTTTACAGTATAGAGCACGACGCATTTAAGACCACCACGACATGAGGCCAGAATGCAAAACACTGTCTCAAAGTTGGATATAGTACAACAGGCTATCTCAATAGAAGTAAACAGAAATATCCACAAGTCAGCGACTCATAATCCTGCCCGCAGAGACTAGGAATGATGATTGTAGACGCAATAAATGTGAAAACCCAACACTAACACCAACACCATTTATCATCAATCATTACCCGTCACAGGAGGTTACTGAATCTCATAAATCTCCAACGCATGCTGGACATCATGCAGACTATCCTTGTCCCCGTACGCGTCCATCAATTTCTGATTATGCCGGATCCGCTCTTCCTCTTGGAGTTGGTACCGGGCTTGTTGGGCTTGAAAATCATTGAGGTAATTGGCGATGCCGAATCCTGATCGTGTCAGTTTGCGTGTGGGGAGATGTGTAGGCAAGGACATACCAGCTGCAACGACGGCCATGGCTGGAAGATAGCTGTTATTTGTTAGTGATTACCTGGATAACTTAGGCAGAGACATACAGTTTTCCTACCCTCCCTACTTTGAAGCTGGGGTAGCCGGGCCGCTTGAAGAATGGCCGTGGGGATTGCGGGGAAGGTGTGGCGAAGGAGGACATTTTGTATATCTCGTTTGTAGTGGTTTGAAGATTGCTTGATGTTGTTGTCGTTGTTGCGTTGAAGAATTGAAAGGACAGATATAGGGATAGATAGGCTAATATGTATTCAGGGGGAATTGGGATTGAGGCAGTGCCTGAAGGTGGATAACCTGATGCTGCGGGAGTGGTGTTACAGTGGCCTGATCATCATATGACCCTAATCCCAAAGAGGAGAAACTGCGGAGGAAAGGAAGGGGCTTTTGCGGGGGTTTCCATTTTATAGCCACGATCGATTCATGGATGGCCAATCAGATTGGCTTGAATCAATCATGATATTTAGCGTGTTTGAGGGAAATTTCGTTGATGTCATTGCAGGTGCGGATCAGTACATAAATGAGGGATGATGGACTTGCTGTGAGGAATAGCATCATATGATATAGACCAGTCTTTGATGGGCTTATTTATCAATTAACATCCGCTTTCGCCCACAGATTTCGGTTTGCAATATATAGGTCGATGGGCGACCTTGATGACATGGCGGACTGTCATCCGCTACTTAATTCTCACTTGGGTACAGTTTGACAAGCATATGAAAGATGACTTAGTCTCAATGGCAGTACTAAGCTAATATATACTAAGCTTATAGCAGATGTTATTATACTGGCACTGAACAGGACGTCCCGGATGATTTCTACACTTGCTATAGGGTAGTAGATCCAATGATGGCGGAGTGATCTTTGTCAATTCTGAAATACTGGACGCCTGAGGACACCAATATGAGGGGGTCCTACGCGTCAACACTATTCCTCTCATCTCTAACTCTGAAGATCTCTCTTGGTCATCATGGATCTGGCCAAGACTATCCTCAGCTCATCGCATACCCTTGAGACTTCATCTATCCCATAAGTAAGAATGCCATAAGAGCCTATTCAAGGAGGTACGAATGCTATTTTGGACGAGGAGATGTCTGCTCTGCGGCAAGCTGCCTTGCGAGGTGATCCACGAAATGTTGAGCCCCTATTGAACAATGGCTTGAGTCAACCAACCAGGGGGCCTCGGGGTTTGCCGCCGGTCGGGGTGCCATGCATTTGATGTAGCTTTTCTTAAAACATGGCTAACAAAAGAGGAGAATCTGTTATCTCCCGTTTCCTGGTGCCATTCGAAAATGTGACCATGATGTGGTTGAGCTTCTGATTCAGAAAGGAGTGGATCCAAGCGGTTTCATTGCGTCTTCGCTGGGTTTGGAGGAGAACATCTACCTTGGGTTTCATGCGGCAGTATCCTGCGCTATCAAGTACCTCTTGGTTGAGAAGAGCGACCGGGGCGGGGAAATATTGAACCCGCGAAGGAAATGAGATCGGAAGCCCTTGTCCTATTGTCGCAATCTCGCCATACTACACCACTGTAGCTTGATGCGGAGCGGTCAAGTGTCAATCGATGCTAAGCCCAAATCTTCAAACATCAGATCGGATAGTAGTCGATTTCCAGGTTTCCATGAATGGTCCTCAAGAAGTTTCCGAATCATATAGAGCCACGAGCTGACCAGACCAACCGTCGTGACATTGTCACTGACTGAACCAGGGGCTTTTTCCTGCATTCGCCGATACAAGTCTTCATCGGTCCACAAATTATAGAGACATTCTGCGACTCGGTCTGTGTCCCCTACTTTGACAATAAATCCCGTCTCGTTATCAATAACTTGATACGGCAAGCCACCAACGTCCGTAACAATCACGGGTTTGCCTTTGCGGAGTGCTTCCGAGACCTTGATTTCAAAGCCTTCCTGGGTGGAGAGCTGAAGGACAACTTTTGACTTGGAAAGAATCGCGTTCAGGACCTGGTCAGATGGCTTCGCACGAACAACAGCGATCTTATCGGCGAGATGGGGCATTACTTTATGAATATGGTCCATGGCCACGTCGAACATTTCACTTGCATCTGGATCATCGACAGACCCATGTCCGCAGACGACTAGTTTCGAGACCTTACTGTCCGGCTCAGCCTGTACCAGACGAGTATGGAATTTGTGATACGAGTCCAAGACGTCGATTATTCCCTTTGACGGGTCGAACCGGGCGATTTGCACAAAGTACTCGTCGGTCGGATAATCGATCGTTGGCATTCCTGTTTCGTGGCACCACTGGTTGAACAGCCGGCCATAGTATGCGATGTCGGAATCTATCATTTCCTTATTGAGTCCGTCCAACACATCCGTCGAGGCGGGAGAGTGGCCGATCATCGCTTTCGGCACAGTGGGCGGCACAGAGGCTGGAATGGGATGGCTGATAAACACATCAGCATGCTGCGCACGATGCCATAGCCAGTCCCATGATCTGGCCTGAGGTGTGTCAGGTGTGCACGCCAGGTCCACTCGGATCTGGATGTGGCTGCGGAAGATCACCGGCCGGTCTGGTGCCTTCTCCTTGGAAATAGGGATCAGGTCCGGCAGTTGCGGGTCGTCTACCACGACGATATGTGCACCGCCGCTGGAGGGATGATCGAGAGGTCCGCCGGGACAGGACCAGGCGCGTTTGCTGTTGACGCTTACCCATTGTCGGAGTTGTTCCTCATTCTCTGCGGTTAGATAGTCGTCGGGCTCTGCAACACCTTGGAAGATATTGTGATTCATCTTGGTGATGCGGAACACGCCGGATCGCGGTTGCGGCACGTACCACTGCACGTCCAGGTTCAGGAGCTTGCTCAGTCGAAGAAAGGCATGGCGGATGAGGGCGACTCCACCTCCCTGGGGTGTTGCGCTGAAGAGGGCAATTCGGATTTTCTTCCCCCGAACCTGTCCTGCAAGCCGTTCTAGAGCCACCCATGTCCGCTCGCTGACTGTGCCTTTGTAATCATCGAGCGTTGCCAGATGCATCATGAATCCAGAGTCCACTTCGACCAACCCACGGAACCCAACTTGCAGGAGTGGTATATTATTCGGGCCGAACAATCTGCTTGCATTAACGAGATCCAGCCCCGGCCGTGCTATGGAGTGTACCTCACGCATTTCATGGCCAGATACTCCGCCTGCTCATCTGCATCCCGTGTCTCCCATGGAATTTCCTGCTCGTAGCGACCACCCAGCGCGTCATGCTGCGGTACAACCAGTGGCATCACATCGAGCTCTAGCCAAAGCCGGGAGGCCAGTCGGGGACAAAGGTCCGTCAATTCTGTCGGGAGGCAGGTACCGATGAACTTTTCTGCATGATTCAGGCTGTACTTCCGGAGCTGCGCGAGGATAAACTCCGTGATGTTGGCATCGAGGTTCTTGGCAGGGATATGGAATCGATGTTCCAGAAAGTCCAGCGGGTAGACTGCGTCTCGGACGGCGATTACAAGATGTATACTATGCTCGTCGACTCTTTTAGCGGTGATACCAGTGTATCGGATCTAAGTCGTCAGCGGTGTGCGGCAGGAGACAGGACGACAGAATACCTCTGAAGTAGGACCCGACCAGGCGGCGAGTTTGTATTCTTCCTGCCATCGCTTTTTCTGGTGCTCGGAGATCCGTCGTTGGAATGAGTGTATGCTACTTGCATATGCGTACATGCCGCTTGTCATTAGTGGTGGGGTATATCTATGATACTTGAGTAGACCGAGATGCAGTCATGTCCCTAAAATAAGAGGGCATGCATTTATGTCATGTCATGTTTACATCATCTAGTTAGATCTTATGCCCTGTGGCTGCAAACCATGGTTAGGCCATCTTTCCTGCGGGGGAGAAAGCTTGATTTATTGATAGTACCTGTGCCACAGTCCACGGTTATTGATCATAGCCTAAGGCATTGCTTGTTCAGAGGAATACCTAGCTATCGTCAATATTCTGTTAATTAAGATTTTGGGAAGAGTGACGTATCCTACTAGTACAGAGAGTCTATCAAAGCATGGTGTCCTTATGACATCACACGTAAAGGACAAGAAAACCTCATTTATCAATATAAATAAGCAGACTTCTACCTCTCGATATGTATACATTATTAATATAGAGATGATCGGTGGGACTTACAGAGTCATTCTACATAATCAACGATTATGCGTCTCAGTCTCATATGCTAGTGTGAATTACTAGTAAAGCGGGGTATTAGCTTCAGCTTACTCCCCCAACCCACCTCACACACAATACCACTCTATACCCTCTTAACCTAGTACAGCACCATCCAATGGTGCCCTAGCAGTAGACAAAGCATGTCCGGCCTCGAAATCCTCGGCATAGCAGCCAGCATCCTGCAAATCGCCGACCTCGGCGCCACGGTTTCGGTCAAGCTATGCACCTTCTACCGCCAGCTCAAATCCGCCGACCAATCGGCACAGAGCCTCTCGACCGAGGTCGCGCTCACCTGTAGTATCCTGCGCCAACTAGGCGAGAATCTCAAGCAGGACGAGCAGACGCGGTTGTATTCTGCGCAGGCGTTCCAGACGGCGCAGGAAGTGCTGCGCGAGTGCGAGAAGGTGTTTAGGCGGATTAGCGCGGCGGTGGATGAGTCGCGGGCGGACGTCACGAAGAATGCGATTCAGCGGGCGGCGAGGCGGTTGGGGTTTGTGTTGATGGAGAGGGAGCTGGATTTGCTGAGGGGCAATCTGGAGAGGTTGAAGTCAACGATGTTGCTTCTGTTGAATGTGATTATGTATGCGGGGCAGCTGCGGAGGTGAGTTTTGCGTTTCGGGAACGTAAGAGTAAGAGCTGACGGATTTGCAGTCGGGCGGAGTCGTCTGTTCTCAAGGAGCAGAGGGGTTTGATTCAGGTGCTGGCGGAGGAGAAAAAGGCGAGCGAGGCGCGATTCGACCAGTTGGTCAAGGCTCTTGGGTCTGCCGATATCAACCACCACGGATCAGCTGGGCAAGATACGCTCCCTCCGTATGAGTCCCTGGCACAGGAGGATGCGTTACGTGAACTCCGGACGTATCACCAGCTCATCAAGCGGCTACTCCAAGAAGTGGATGCGTGCAGGACGGGCATTGAGCAGAGCCGGTATTCAAGATTCAGGAACGGAGTGGTCAAGGTGCATGCGGCCGAGGTGGAGGGATTTCGACGGGCTCACGGGGAGATTGTTACTCGATTGTTCGAAGATCCGCTGTTTAGTCTTTCTTCTGAGACGGACGTCGAGACACAAACTCAAGAGAATGACAACACTGAGGAGGCTGAACGGCCACAACGCAAAGAAGCCATAGCGAAAAGAAGACGAGTCGACGAGTTTACACGCCATACGTGTTTCCCTCCCGAGGCATTTGAGAGAGATCGTCTACCTTTAGAGCCATCGGGCTTTGACCCTTACGCTGGTCAGATCGGGCATCCTGCTCCTTCGCTCGAAATGGTCAATGAGAGAATCGAGGCATATCGTGCACGTGACAGAGCTTTCTGCGACTACGAAGGAACTATCGAGGGCGTCCGTCCCCGTATCGGTTCCAACGTGGCTTCTGGTCGTGCTATCGGGAGGCAGATCCATCATAATGCTCAGCAACAACAGGCTCAGCAACAACAGGCTTCTCCCAGGAGCGAGATAACGCCATTGGAGAGATACGTGTTCGAGGTTGATATTACCCCAGTTCCGGCTACGAAGCCAGCGCCAGAAGTCAAGGGAACTGTTGATGCGGTGGACGATTTGCTTCTGAAATGGACAACATTAGGGCAGAATGACCTCTTGGCTTGATCTAGGAACTTTCTTTTTCCTGCAAGTTCCAGTAACAGTTTCCCAAGACTCGTGCACATGTTCCTAGGGATATTGGCAAAGGGCCAATACACTGTGAGTAGCTTGAAGACGTTGCGCGGTATATAATTGCTCCTGGCGGTTTGCATAGGTAGAAACAATCACGAGGATACTAAATAAACCTCCATCTGATCATCTGATAATTTCAAACAAGACCACTCATCAAGTTCATCAATCATCCACGCCTAGAGTCGACTACTCCCTTGCTTCTCCGGCAGCACCAAGAAACTCGCACCTCAGTTTCGAATCTTAACAAACTAACCAATAAGTTCTTACAATCATGACCATTCCGCCTGGACTTACCCGCTTCGTCAGTCCTCTCATCCCTGGTGGACAGATCCCAGTGGTCCCGATAAGCCTTACATGCCAAGGCATCGTTTGATTCGATCACAAGATATCCCGCCCGTCGATCATGTGCCCGGAAGTGGTACAAAGAGGTGTCAGTGGTCCGTTATACGCCTCATTCCGAATTGTTTTTCTCTTTGCAACTGAGAGGAATAAGATAAATATGCCGGAGGATTCGGATGTGGTTTTTCTGTCTTTCTACGGAACTGTTCGGTGTTGTTGATGAAGATGCGGCTGAGATATGTACTTCCTTTTGTCACCGTTTGGATACTGCGGACTTGTGAGGGATATGTGGCGCAGCAGGTGCCTATGAGGGAGGACGGGAGGTGTACGAGGACTACAGTGGCTATCTTGTAAGTGTTTATCCTGTATATCGACAAGTGCTGACGGTAGAAGAGGGGGTGGAGTAACAGGGATTACCGCTGCTGTAAGTACTATATTTCGATATGAGATGAAAGCGACTGACTGTAACAGCAAGCGATGGCAAATGCATCCATTGATGATTTTATTATTCTCGAGTATAGAGATCGACTTGGGGGTAGATTGAGACTTGAAGAGTTTGGAGAAGATGAGAATGGGAATCCGTATGTGGTAGAGCTGGGGGCGAACTGGGTATGCAGCCTTAGAGCTCTATGCGTAGATGGAGTTGACTGGAATAGGTACATGGAGTTGGGATGGGTGTAAGAGGTGTGTACTGTCGAACTCAAGATCCCTTCATGCTAACGTGCTCAGAGAACCCTATTTGGCAACTGGTGCGTCTCTCCTCCGCACCACGGCACATATTGACAGCCCCAGGCCAGAAAGCACAACTTGACAGTCACACATTCCAACTACAGCTCGATACGCACCTACAACGAAACCGGCTTCACCGACTATCGACATCTCCAGCGCGAGTATGCCGCGGCCTACCGCACCGCCTCTAGAGAAGCAGGACGCATCATGACCGAGAACCTGCAGGATCAGACGGCGCGGACTGGCCTCGCACTGGCTGGATGGCGGCCACGGAAAGATGATTCGGCAGCGCAAGCGGTGGAATGGTGGAATTGGGGTACGTCTCACCTCATTTCGAGATCAACACGACTGATCTAGTTGTAGACTGGGAATCCGCCCAAACACCTGATACCAGCTCGTTGGTCTTCGGCCTCGCCGCCGAGAATATCACCTTCCAACAGTTCGGAGCACGGAACGAATTGGTCATCGATCCCCGCGGCTACAGCGCCATAATCAACGGCGAGGCCGCAACCTTTCTATATAGCGAGAATGGCGATCCGAGGATGGACCCTCGCGTCCGGCTGCAGACACAAGTCACCGAGATCGAGTACTCCGACAAAGGCGTCACGATCCGCAACAGCGACGGTAGCTGTGTAGAAGCAGCGTACGCCATCTGCACATTCTCTCTTGGTGTTCTGCAGAACCACGCAGTCAACTTCCGTCCTGCACTACCCGGGTGGAAACAAACCGCCATCCACAAGTACACCATGGGCACGTATACCAAGATCTTTATGCAGTTCGAGGAGATGTTCTGGCCGGACGATACGCAGTTCTTTTTGTATGCGTCGCCGACGACAAGAGGGTACTTTCCCGTGTTCCAGTCTCTGTCGATGGAGGGGTTCCTTCCCGGGTCGAATATCCTGTTCGTGACGGTTGTAGATGCAGAAGCCTATCGGGTGGAGAGGCAATCCGATGCGGAAACGCAAGCCGAGATCCTCGATGTCCTCCGGCAGATGTTCCCCGACAGGCACATTCCCGAACCGAAAGGGTTCTTCTACCCGCGCTGGTCGGAAGAGCCTTGGGCGTACGGCAGCTACTCCAACTGGCCGGTTGGTACGACGCTGGAGATCCATCAGAACCTGAGAGCGAATGTACAGCGGCTGTGGTTTGCTGGTGAGGCGACGTCTTCGGCGTATTTCGGATTTGCGCATGGGGCTTGGTACGAGGGGAAAGAAGTCGGAGAGCATGTGGCTGCTCTACTGCAGGGTAAATGTGTTACGTTGCAGGGGCAGAAGGCTTGTGGAGAGAGGAGGCATTACGAGGTGCTGCATGGGACGACACCCTTGGAGTCATATAATGCGATCAATGGGTGGCCAGTGAGTAGCATTGAGCTGTAGCCTGTAGATTCACTGGTTTATTTGTTTCAGGGAAGACGGTGAAGGAGAATGATCCTAGCTGGTTAATCTGCTTCTGATAGTGAATAAACTGATATGATATTATGTGAATATTTAGTACTTTGGCTCCCCTCTTAATGCCGATTCATTCATCTCTTCTTCAGCCCATACATGGACTTCTGGATATGTCCTCTTAAGAAGTCCATGGTTGGTCTACACATCTACCGTGTGAGCAATCTTCCTTCTCCCACTTTGTCTGTAGTTTTCTTTTTACTTCCTACTAAAGACATTATAACAACCAATATGATTCTATCATAGCCACTTAGCGCAGATGGCTTCATAATAGCTGCTGGCATCATATTTCCAACAAAACGGGAGGATGAAAACCGAAAACATAAACAATCTCTCCAACCTGATGATGCTGACAAATGCTTTCCATGAGGAGGTCAGGCTGGACTCACATGCGCACATGCCGTAGCTGAGCTCACTGCATCTCCGCGTCGGTAGGAATCTGGATCTCTACATTCCCAGTTCGTGGGCAGGTGGCTCTCCTGGTAGTGGTCACATCTAGCGACGATGGCGGTTTACATCGCTTTGCATCGTCTTTGGTATGGCCCTCGCCTGGTCCGCCGCTTTCCCCGATTCCCTCAGACTTTGCACAGCTGAATAGGTTACGCAATCGAGCTTCCCCAATCTCCCTTCGGGGACGACATTCTCACTGCGGTCGAGAAGTGGAAGATGAGCCACCCCATAGCCCGCCGTGAGGTGGCGATTCTCTGACACTCATTGTGTGAAGCTGTATGTTTGGATAGCTTCCCTGTTCTATGAACATGCTAACAGTGGTGTTGGCTAGGTTGCTCAGGAATGGCGGCGAAGCCCTTGACTTATCTCGTCGGGGCTTTTATTCGACGTCGACGGCGAGATGTGTCTGCAGTAAGTAATTTCGTGGGACCTTCATGATCAATGCTTAATGAAGGTAGTACAGTGTCGCATGCAGCGTTCCAACTTGCAAAGACGAAGAGAACTGTGCAGTTCTGAACAGCATTTTGTGTCTTCGCGGTACCCTAAAGGTAAGTCTATCAAAGACAAAGCTACATCTTGATCATCTACCGAAGTATGGATACTAAGGATGTGGGTTATACAGCTCAAGTTCCAAGAAGAGCACTCCCGATATCATATACAAACCACCGCGGGACGCCCCTTGGACTGAAGGGTCCTGCTCTACTACTGTCAAGTGCACTATCAAATCTTGCGCTTCTTTTACAATGCCAACCTCGCAAGATGACAACCACCATTAAACACTGGCCGCGCCGGGAAGTGGCGATCGGTTTCCGTCTGTCTAGGCGCATCCCTGCAAGCAAGTCCTGCTACTGTATGATCATATTTGGCTGGCCTCCATTGCTTTCTCGTCGCGCAAGCCATTTGCGCGGTGCTGCCATTACCATGCTTGGTGCCTTATTGTCTTTCACCATGGCCCGATTCCACAAGGGGTAGCACCGGGCACTCAGGCAATACGCCTAACACGGCGGATGTTCTTTGGCCAGTCGGTCAGACCTGGCGCTAGTCCAGGGGATGTTCTGCCTCTGGATGTAGATGAGCGGCGAGCCATAGCCCCAGATTGAAAGGGCCCGACGGACGAGCTACGACAGTTCATTCACATATATGGGATAACCTTTGGCAATCAAGTAGAGTGGTAGCATTCACTTTCTCCCTGTACACAAGAGTACTATGATTGCTAACAGTTATTCATACCTAGTATCGAAGGGCTACAAGATGATTCTGAGCGCGTTGAACGCTGTCGGCGGTCACCATCTGCAGGGCCCGTATCTGAACGACGAAGAGGAAATCCTCTTCAAGCTAATCACAAGGCCGTTCGATTGAGGCAAAGCCGACTAAGTGGAATTGAAGAGTATCTGTTCGACGATCCCCCGCGTGCGGAGGAGAGTGAGATGACTCCTTGGGCGACGAGCCAGGGGAAAGTCGACCATAGCAGTATAGTACGAACCTTGCAGGGCGATTTGGGGTTGGGGGGAGGAGATCGACTCGCAGACCGCAGGGCTGTTTCGCTGGAACACACACACTTATTCAAAGACCTGCAGGACATTCCCAAAACAAACGACTCGGTGGCACGGTGGGCTTTCGACCGGTTGAAGGACCGAAGGCCTAGTGCTGGTTGGATCCAGAAGGAAGGTCAGGGATGGCAATGAAAGTCGATTCATGTATCAATAGACTGATACAAGAGGGCTCGCTGGTGAAGGGACGGTCATCCCTCCGAGCCTGGGCCGGCCAGTATGTTGTCCAGAAGATGGCAACAGCCTGGTTAGACAACGCCATAAACCATGGTACAGTCTCCTGGGACATCCAATGCTATAGGCTGCCGTCCCGGTTCGTCTAACCTTCCCATCATTGTTGAATATACATACTGACGTCTAACTCCAAATAGGAGATCTAATCCGGGACATGTTTGACAAGGGGCTTTTCCTCAAATGGCGTGATGTGATCATAACTGTTTGTGACATATTTGATGCCCTTCATGGGCAAATCAGTCTCCGGTTTACCAGAGGCCACCAGTACATCTATCCTTCACTGCGTGCAGCCGAGTCGTCCTGCTTGAACCACGGCTTAACCTAAACACGCTATTCCAGGCAGTCGGGCGGGTCCATCGCCTCGGACTGCGTAAACCCCAGAACGTCTGGTCGATATCTCAAGAGCACTTGATCTCGCACTGGATCGAGTGCAATAATGCTGGCAAGGCCCTCCTCTAGTTAGCGGCGCAGCTTCACGATCTTCTGAAGCCAATGTCCTGGCAGCGCGTTCAACAAATCTTCAGCAGATGAGGCAGCCGACTACGCAGAGGTCGAGGTTATCCAGCAAGCTGCGGAGGATTGTCTCTGACGCGTGCTTGGCCAGCAGGCCAGTCCGCTGGGCATCAAGGACTTAGATGAAGTCAACCATGTATTGACGGCGTCTCAGAAATCTTGTGCGATGCTTTTAGATCATGTTCGAGAGATTGGCTGGACCGTGAAGAATGGAAAGGTTTTGGAAAAGCCGTTGAAGTCACGATTCAATCGAGATGCGTACATCTTGCAGCGTCGCGGTATCGAACAAGAAGATGCATGTACTCTCTGTGAAAGTGGGCGAGGGGTTTTTGGTTCGTGCGTCGCAGCGCCAGATGTGACGACTGACCAGACTGGAAGAAAGTGTTCTCTTTTCGCTGGCTCCTGCGCCAACTGTTTATGGCATGGAAAGGCTGCAGAATGCTCGTTTTACCTTGGGCGAAATGGTGGTTAGAAATCAGACCTGGATTTGTACTATCCCCGTTCCTCTTTTCGTTCTTATTTCATTCTTTTCTAACTGGTGTAGGTTCTTCCTCAAGCAAGGTGGACTTTGTACACTCGATGACGATAGCTTGGTGGTCAAAGACTGGCCTCTCGAGGAGTCCTCGTTCCGCAAAAGGTACCCCCGTCAACCAGAATGTTCCCGAAATCGTTATTTCTGGTGATTCTTCAGTTCGGAGCACCCGGTCTGGGAAGATTTTCAACCTTCCTGCGTTTGCGTTGAAGAAAGGGACACCTTCGTCGAGAGTCCGCCTGGACAAGCCATCGTCCCTCTCTAATGATCCCTTCGTTTCGGATTCGCGTGCCTCTCATCCCCCTCCTTCCTTCGATGTCGATAGAGCCAAAGGGCCCAAACGACTTCTTGTTTCTGCTTCGGGGTCCCCCTCGGCAAAGACCTCGGCCTTGACCCGGCTGAAGCCGTGGCAGGTCCGGGGGCACTCTGGCCGATGCGTGTGGAACGGGCAAAACGACCACAACTATCACGATGCTCTGGCATGCATCACTCGCTGCGGAGAGAGATACCTCGCACATGCATCGCCCGACATTGATTCTGTGTCCAAGCGCGCTCATCGATACGCGGCTAGCGGAGCTTAGGACGCAGAGGGACGGTGAGCTCACAAAGGCGCAAATGACACCGTGGCCTTCCAAATGAAGTGTCGCCGAGTGAGAGGCATGCACGCCGGAAGCGATCAGTATCAGAGTTCCAGCCACAGGGTGACTCCCAAAGGGACTGAGGATCAATTGCCGCTTGGGATATGTGAAGTCTGGCAAGCCAAAGAAGTCAAGAGGCTCACAAGCAGAAGGTCAGACTTGTTGACCCAAAGTGCATCCATGGGTGCAGCATCATACCTGCATCAGATGAGGAAATCGTCAATTTTGCAATTGTTGACTGGCTCCAGGCTGTCTGCTAAGATGCTTCGGTATACTCGAACAAAATCTACGACATCACCGACGTCCGAGGTGGCGCCCTCCGAGAAGAACACGTTCGTTTTGACAAAGAATACTCGACTGAATGGCACCGCATGAAATGCGCGCTGGACATGTATATCCAACTGCAAACTGCCTGGGAAGAGGCCCTATCCGACTATCGAACGGACATGGCGAAGTGGCGGATCGCAGCAATGAATAGGCAGCAGTTACCAGGTGGAGCATGGTTTGGTCGAATGAGCTCAGGCTTGTCAACGACGAAGCTCCCCAAATTCTTGCCGTGAGGTTAACATGACTCTATCCGAAATGAGGGCCCCAGACGAGGACCTAGGGAAGTCCCATGGGGCAAGCCTGCGAGCCAGAGAGAGTCCATGCAATCATTGAGTGCGAGCCCCTAATATACTGTCAGTACATCAAAATCGACTAGCTCATGCTCACTGAAGATTGTACCAATGTTTAGGATTTAGTACAAGAATATAATATATTCCAGAATTTCAAATAAAGTATCGTCTCATTATCACCGATTAAGGAGGGCCTCAACATACGATAAGCAGCAGTACAAATATCTCCAACTTCCAGATCCGCCAAAAGCATACGACGAAGATCCCATGCAACCCCTAACTACATCACCACAGTTAGAATATCATCCTTACCGTCGTTCTCGTCCAACCGCCAACTCGACCAAACCCCAATCATCCTCTCCTCCGAGCCCCCAGACGCATCACGAACCCTATCATCGACCCCCGTGCAGGCGGCGACCCCAGCCCCTACACATCTTCTACAACGCAGACATACGTAAACCAATCATCAACCGACCCAAGCTCCCACTGGAAATTGCAAGGAGCTACTTTGCAGAGCTTATTGGGTGTACGAGGCTCAAATTGGGTAACTCATCGCGAAAGGCTCAGCGACGCTGGAAGATGGGCCGTATGCCAAAGAGCCGAATGCTTCGTATGTGGCGGGGCAGACGCTACGACGGTGACTGCGACACAAATGGCTGAATTACGTTATTGAGACGGGATTTGAGGAGCCGTTGGGTCGGTTGCGGCTGCACAAGGAGCGGTGGCTTGGTCAGTCGGACGGATAGGTACGAGCGGTGTTGGTTGTTGGGGTGAGTAGGACGGCGCGGAGGGTTGTAATTGAGAACTGGGCGCAGAGGGCGGATCTTCGATCAAGGAGCAGGAGGTTGGTATTTCTGGAGATGAGGAGGGGTTGGTTGTTGCTTGGGATACGCTGAGAATCAAATTTGAGGATCTTTTTTTGCGGCCTGCGAGTGGTGATACAGAAGGAGATTTGGTGTTTCAGCGCGAAGGGATGGAAGACATGGCTGTAGCGGTTGGAGTTATTTGCCTTTTGAATGAGGTGTATACTACTTCTGGCGGATCTCATGTTGCAACAGGGATGCTGATTAGGCTCAATGGTATATTCGATGGCATGTGAACTGATAGCTACTCGAGATGAGATCAATGGCCAAGGTTCTTAGGAGCAGCAGTCGCGGGGCCTTCAGGGGTAACGTATGCCTGTTGTTGTCAGCATGATTGTTTGAGCCATGGAGTAGAAGTCATACCTTGGTCATGCCTCCATCTACGACAAAATCGCTTCCATTGACGAAACTGCTTTCGTCGCTGGCAAGGAACACGACCGCATGGGCCTGTTCAATGGCCTCGCCGAAGCGGCCTGTGGGGAAGTGAATCTCGCGACGGTGACGCTTGGGCTGATCATCACCCAGCCAGTCTTGCAGAAGAGGAGTGCTGTGACTGGTTAGCACATCTCGCTATCTGGGAATGAAACGAACTTACTTGAGCGGAGCAGGGCACAGAGCATTGAACCGGAAACCCTCACGAGCATGGACAATCGCCAACTCCCGAGTCAAGGCAAGAACAGCTCCCTTGCTGGCAGTGTAGGCCAGCTGGGGCGTGGCGCTTCCCACCAGAGCAACCACACTCGCTGTGTTGATAATGCTACCCCTGTTCTTCTTGTGACGACGCAGACTCAGCACCGCATGCTTGCAGCCAAACCAGACACCCTTGACGTTGATGTTCTGTGTCAGATCCCAGATCTTCTCTGGTGTATCGACCGCATCAGCGTCATCAGCGTGCATGATCCCCGCGTTGTTGAAGATCACGTCCGTTCCACCCCAGCTATCCTGAGACTCGACCATGGCCTGCACTTCAGACTCCTTGGAGACATCGCACTTGATTGTTTCGACCCGGGGGCGTTGGGGACGACTTCCTTCACTTTGGCGAGGGCTTTCTCGAGAGCCGGTGCGGAAATATCCGCCATCAGGACGTTGGCCCCTTCGCGAGCGAAAAGGATACTGGTTTCGAGACCGATGCCACTGCGGGGAATCAATCAGTATGTCAATTGAGTGATTAGATGATGCCTTACCCTGCGGCACCAGTGATGATGGCATTCTTGCCTTGGAGTCTTCCTCGAGAAGCCATTTTGTCTGTGAAGCTCGATCAGTAACTGAGGCTGCGTAGTGTGGGGTAGTTGATAGATACGACAGGGGGCGTGTGAACGGAAACGGTCTTACTATGAACTTGTGAGGATGTCAAGAAATGACAGACAATCTATGGGAGGAATTGAGCACTCAAGTCTCTATGGAGGAAAAGACGGTCAGGAGTCGCAGCCAGCAGGAGAGATACTGTGACACAGCTCCGACGCGGGGGGCAGTGTGGATCGAATTATCTAATCGGCGGAAGGCCGGTGATGATAACAGCTGGCGATAATCCGATGCTCGTATGCAAGAATATAGACCGTGGACTAAAGACATCTTCTATTTATCTCTTCAACCATTTAGACAGAAAACTGCTATTCTGTACTTCAAAAGCAACTATCATGATCGCTTATCTACATCGGCTCCTACCCCCTGTCTCCAATATGCAATCGGACCGATGTGGCCAACACACCGTTGATAAGCTCCGATAAGGCACCTAGGCTCTAAGGCTCTCCACACTTGACACAGCCTCAGTCTTCCGCATCTCCAACCCCCTGCCACCACGCGGGTGAGTTCATTCCCTGTCCATAGTGCCGTCTACAGACTCCAACTTACCGTCCCAGGAACTCCTGTCAATCACCATGTCCGCGTCCACATCCTCCCGCGAAGTGACCCTCGAGAATGTCGCCGAGATACTCAAACATGACACCAAGGTCAAGCTGGCAGGTGTCGACGTGGACGGCCAGCTGCGCGGCAAGCTCATCTCCAAGAAGAAATTCCTCTCTATTGCCGCTGACGGGTTCGGATTCTGCTCGGTGATTTTTGGCTGGGACATGCACGACCGGACATACTTTAAAGAACTTGCGATCAGTAATAAGGAAAATGGATACCAGGATCTTGTCGCGGTGCCTGATCTGAGCAGCTTTCGCCGAATCCCCTGGGAGAGCGATGTTCCGTTCTTTCTTGTCAGCTTTTTTGATCCGGAGACTAAGGAACCTGTTTCTGCTTGTCCGCGGGGGTTGCTGAAGACGGCGCTCAGTAAGGTGGAGGCAGCGGGATACCGTGCTATGGCCGGGGGTAGGTTGTGCTCTGCCTTGATTTCCCATCACGTTCTCGAAACGCTTACTGATTGATTCAGCGGAGTATGAGTTCTATCAATTCCGCGCACCAGGCGACTACCCCACACCCGAACGGAATGCCTCCGCGACCGCCGCCTTTCTCCAAAAGAACCCTGTCGAAGCGTTGCCTGCGCTGACGGAGGGTATGTTTGGATACAGTCTTACTCGCCCCATACACAATCAGGATTACTACTACGGTATATTTGACGCATGCGAGCAGTTCAACTGCGAGATTGAGGGATGGCACACGGAAAGCGGGCCTGGTGTATTTGAGGCAGTGAGTGTCCTTGGCTGTTGAGCAGTGCATGGTTGACGCGTTCAGGCATTACAATTTGGGGAAGCCAAGGAGATGGCAGACAAGGCTGGGTTATTCAAGTGAGTCGGTCGGTCGTTGAATACTAAGCTTTGGCGACTGCTGACCTTTCAGATACGTGGTCAAGTCCATCGGCGCGAAACATGGCATCACGCCAGCGTTCATGGCAAAACCACGCGAAGGTTTGCCTGGCAACAGCGGGCACATGCATATCTCGCTGGTTACGGAAGATGGAAAGAATGCGTTCCTCCGCCCGACGCCTGACCCATCCCCGCCCTATCCAGATGTAGCGCACCTCTCCGACCTGGGAAGACACTTTTTGGCAGGTATTCTCACCGGCCTTCCGGATATCATGCCTCTTTTTGCACCGACGATCAACTCATACAAGCGGCTGGTGGAGAACTTCTGGGCACCGGTCACCGTATCCTGGGGTCTGGAGCACCGGGCCGCTTCCATCCGGCTGATCACCCCGCCCACAGCCAGCGCGAAAGCAACTCGATTCGAGGTGCGCGTGCCGGGGGCAGACGCGAACCCACACTTTGTCCTAGCCGCTATTGTCGCGTTGGGTTGGCGCGGCGTCGAGAAGAAGCTGGAGATTCCCGTCCCGCCTCTGTCCAAGGGCGAGGACATGGGTGGTGCCAGCGATCAGGGCGTCCGACTGGCCAAAACATTGAAGGAGGCGACGGTTGCATTCATGCGCAAGGACAGCGTTGCACGAGAGGTATTTGGTGATAAATTCGTGGATCACTTTGGGGGACGCGGGAACATGAGGTGCACCTGTGGGAGGAAGCGGTGACTGATTGGTTTGTGTTCTCCGCATGCATGACGACAGGGATTATGCTAACGCAGTTGACAGGGAGGTGCGGCGGTACATCGAAACGGTCTAACGAGTCCTACGGTCCAACGGCTGTTGTATATACCCTGGTAGTCTGTTTAGCTTGATCATGCTGTATCTTCGAGTTGATGTCTCAGCGAGTGTTGTGTATTGATTGATACCATGCAGAGAGCACGTAGTAAAGCGTGATTGATCTCTATTTGTCTCTTATCGATCAGTCTGAAACAGGTACCCCGTTTGCTCCCGAGCGTATATCAAATCGGAATGAGGCCCGGAAGCTAGAGCTTCTGTTCTCGACTTACAGAATATCACATGCAGTCAACCATCTTCACATGCCGCATGCCAACACGCAAAATCGCAATGTCACAAATCACTAGATACAACAGTTGATATAATAGTCAGTATTCAGATCAAAAGTAAATTGTATCCTTGATATTGATATTATTAAATATATCTGTTGAGTGTTGGTGTTGATTGTGGTATTGATAGTAGTCGTCCTGATGGAAGGATGACTCCATCGGGTCAAGTCGGACGGCGCCTGAGGCAGCGACAGGCCGATATGCAGCTGCAGGGTTCAGGCCTAGATCATCCTGACGTTGGACCGCGGCTTCAACGGCTCAGGGAGATCTCGGGCATGCGGACGAATCCCTCGGTTGATCTATTTTGATCTGGAGTTGATACCTTCAGTCACGATTAGTCCGTATTCAGTGGATTGAGCGGTGCACCGAAACGGCCGAGAAATTGATCCCTTCATAATACTCCACGAGCAATTCAATTGCCTCGAGTACGTTCAATGATTATATAGTAATAGTATTACCAGTATGATAACAACCCCTGCCGATATCGATCGGTCTGCGGCGGCCCCGGGTGAGGGGAAGCGAACGACACCTCAGGCAGGACGCGGGGAGTCGGCCGAAAGATCCATACACGCTAGTAAGATAACTGGTAATTTAAACTTCCTGCTCCGGCTTAGTGTGAGTGATATCCGCGGGAAAGTCATGTGATCCCCTCCGAAACAGTCAACTTCCGCTCATCCAGGGCTGGTTATGCACGATGACTGGCTGTTGTCCATCAGTGATAGGATGTTTTCCACAGTTTCCCTGAAGAACGCTTCCCCATATCATGAGAATAACTTACCGATTACAGCTGGATGACTGGAATGGAAATGGGAGACCTCCAAGGTGTCCGTTCTTCGCCCATGGTTGGTCCAAACTTCCAATGGGCCGCGGCTGTTCATCGTTCTGACGTAGTCTCCATTCGTACTCCCGAAGGAACTATGCATGCGATCCTTCTATATATTGTCGTCTAGGCGCTGCGCCGGGCTTTGATTTCTCTTCTTTCTTTTTCTTGAACTTTATTTGGGTGACTTTCTTCATCCATCACATCATCCTCAGCCATTGATCATTGCAAAAGACAATATCAACATGAGCCAAATCGAAGTACAGCTCAAGGATGTCGCCATCCTGGGCGCCGTGAACAACGAGCATCGCAAGATCCTCACCAAGGAAGCTTGCGCTTTCCTCGCCATCCTCCACCGCACCTTCAACCCTACCCGGAAAGCTCTCCTGCAGCGCCGTATCGATCGGCAGGCCGAGATCGACAAGGGCCATCTGCCTGACTTCCTCCCCGAGACCAAGCACATTCGTGAAAATGACGCCTGGAAGGGTGCTCCTCCCGCTCCCGGTCTGGTTGACCGTCGCGTGGAGATCACTGGTCCCACGGACCGCAAGATGGTCGTCAATGCTCTGAATGCGGATGTCTGGACATACATGGCGGATTTCGAGGGTGAGCCCACTTGCATTTGGCTGTATTCGAAGACAACAAACTGACAGGCATAGACTCGAGTGCCCCTACCTGGTCGAACATGATCAACGGCCAAGTCAACTTGTACGATGCTATCCGTCGTCAGGTCGACTTCAAGCAAGGAAACAAGGAGTACAAGCTCCGCACAGACCGTACCCTTCCCACCCTGATCGCTCGTGCTCGAGGCTGGCACCTTGACGAGAAGCACTTTACCGTTGATGGCGAGCCTATCTCCGGCAGTTTGTTCGACTTTGGTCTCTACTTCTTCCACAACGCCAAGGAGCTGGTTGCTCGCGGCTACGGTCCTTACTTCTACCTCCCCAAGATGGAGTCCCACCTCGAGGCCAGACTCTGGAACGACGTCTTCAACCTCGCTCAGGACTACATTGGCATTCCCCGGGGAACGATCCGTGCTACTGTCCTGATTGAGACCATCACTGCTGCTTTTGAGATGGATGAGGTGAGTCAAGGATACTCTACAACTAGCTTTGGTGCCCGTGTACTAACATGCGCAGATTATCTATGAACTGCGTGACCACAGCTCCGGTCTCAACTGCGGCCGCTGGGACTACATCTTCTCCTTCATCAAGAAGTTCCGCAAGCACCCCAACTTTGTCCTTCCCGACCGCTCCGACGTCACCATGACCGTGCCATTCATGGATGCCTATGTGAAGCTGCTCATCAAGACTTGCCACCGCCGTGGTGTTCACGCTATGGTAAGTTTCGCGTCTGCCTGATCAACGGAGAAAAGCTGACAATCGCAGGGTGGTATGGCTGCTCAGATCCCCATCAAGGACAACGCCGCGGCCAACGACAAGGCCATGGAGAACGTGCGCGCCGACAAGCTGCGTGAGGTCCGTGCCGGCCACGACGGTACCTGGGTTGCTCACCCCGCTCTCGCCGCCATTGCCTCTGAGGTCTTTAACAAGTACATGCCTACTCCCAACCAGCTGTTCGTCCGCCGGGAGGACGTCAACATCACCGCCAACGATCTGCTCAACACCAACGTGCCTGGCAAGATCACTGAGGAGGGTATCCGCAAGAATTTGAACATTGGTCTTTCTTATATGGAGGGCTGGCTCCGCGGTGTTGGCTGCATCCCGATCAACTACCTGATGGTATGTGATTTCCAGTTTTTTACTTTCACTTCATCTTGCTAATTTAAGAGTAGGAGGACGCCGCTACCGCCGAAGTGTCCCGGTCTCAGCTCTGGCAGTGGGTGCACCACCAGGTCACCAGCTCCGATGGCAAGAAGATCGACAAGGCCTACGCTCTGCGTCTGCTCCAGGAGCAGGCCGACAGCCTGGCCGCCAAGGCACCCAAGGGCAACAAGTACCAGCTGGCGGCCCGTTACTTTGCCGGTCAGGTGACGGGTGAGGACTACGCGGACTTCCTTACCAGTCTGCTGTACAATGAGATTTCCACCCCGGGTACGGCGTCGAAATTGTAGCCTGTGACACTGAGCGTGGTGCCAGATTGATGATTGATGATTCCCCTGTACTGTACATTTAGCATCAATACATTGTCAGTAATCTTCAAAGCCATCTTGTAGATCGATATGCACAATCATTAAACATAGGCAGCAACCCATACTTTTGTCACCTCCCAAGTAGTTGAGTTCTTTATTAAACCTGTACCTGGACCAAAAAGGACTTCATTGACGGTATTACCAGAGTGCGAAGCAGTATCTACTGCATGATATGCTAGGTATCGTGCAGGCTGACAGATAGAAGCCAGAATCCACTTCACTAGCTATCGGACATGATATCTCTTGTCTTGATGTCCAAGACAATGACAAGGAATTTCCCATTGTTCAACTCAACAAGTCACAAATCGAGATATTTGTATCACAATGCCATTGTGCATGTCTCGTTTTGTCTTTTCCGTCATATTTCTTTCTTTGTCCAGCACCTCGGGATGTTCCCTCCCCGGAATCGACTCAAGACAATGCCTCGACATGATGTCTCTCAATCCGTGGTAAGACATCTCTCACGCAGTTTCTCTACCTATGCCATTCATGTCTCTAATGTCTCTTGGTTGATATATAGGACATCTATCTTCATCCTTTCAAGTTAGATGTCTCTCTTCTCTACAAGACATCGCCGTCTTGTCGTGATGTACCGAACTGATGTCTCATATCAACAGATTGCGTCTCATTTCTCTGCTCGCGATGGATATAAATTTCGAGAGAAAGCAGCCCAAGATGGACTTCTCTCTTCGTCACCATCATCCTTTGGATATCCTGCTCTTGCTCTACTCTCTTCTCTACTTGTTCGAACCTCGCTTCACTACAACCCCACACATCCTCTACAACTTCTTGACCTCCTCGTTCACATCTCTACTCCAGTCAAGCACCGGGTAAGAACAACCCAAGAACAATACCAAAAAAGAAAATGACCAACCAAAGACCAACAGCCTACCACGACCCCTCCGCCCCGCACCTCGTCCCAGTAGACGACTGCCTAACCTACGAAACAGGATACCGCCCTAACCTCCCCGGCCAACGAACCTGGTGGATCTTCTGCCCGATCACCGGCCTTTTCGCCAACAGCTACTCCCTCCTCGGCGCGATGATCGAGTGCGTCGCGCGCGGACAGGCGACCCTCGCGCCGAACTGGGACCGTACCGTCGCCGGCGGCATCTGGTATGATTTTGACTGCGGGGCTGATGTTTTGGATGGGCAGGTGCTGATGGATATGGCTGTTAGTGATATGCAGAGACGCATTGAGCGGTATATGTATACGAGTGATGGGCAGGTGGGGTATAAGCCTGCGCTTGGGTTTCGGTAGGTTTTGGCTGTGGTTGCTGACAGTTGCAGGTTGGTTGTTGAGAAGCATAAGGATGAGTGGTTGGGATTGGGAGATTGACAGGTATGTTTTCTTTGTTATTGCAATCGGTTTGGTTGGTTGAGGCTGTTTGAGTTGCTGGGTTTGGTATTGTTGGCTTCCTTGACTGCTACGATGTGCTTGGATTATGACAATGAAGTGAGTTCTTCGACAGAATATCCCGATACTGAGATGCATATGTGGGCTCGTAGACGTAGCAAAAGATGCAATACCCAGTAAGGAAATTTCCACAGGCGTTGCGACGGAGAACCCTAATAGATGGACGTTGCGACATATAAATACTCGATAGTCCTCGAGGCATAGTTCAGAAAGTGCCCTCAGAAGAAACCTCATGGGTTTGAAAGGAAACGCACGAAACACCAGATACCATTACTCCTGCAGAATGCAATGGTATGTCTTGTCTATTACACAATCTCCAATCTGTCCAACATTCCTTCCTATCCTCAGAACCGCAGAATCCACTCTTCAAGGTTTGTATCACTGACCGATAAGTGGATACCGCCTATCCTGCATACCCCAGTCCCTTCCATTATGCAGTCCAACATATCGGCAGATATTACGGAGTAGAGAGCGAGGATACAATTGACTCTAGTATATTCTAATGTATACGAGATCCATAGCAGTTTATCTACTACATCCAGGCAGACAACGACTATAGGAGCAAAGGTCGATCCGATGTCTAGAGCTACGCTTAAGACAGTGACAAGCTCTTACACCTCTATTCTTTCATATGCAGACAGGAGCAACGGTCATAGTCCAGTGAAGTTGACTCTATTCCAACGACCACCACCAATTCCACTTGTTTCCCACCTGGGGTCAAGCTATGCTACTCCGTACAAAATCTAGCACACCAATTCAGTCCACTCACATTAGTACCACAAAATTAGATATACTCCCAAGCGGCAGCCCGAGTATCATTCGAAGGCACGGCCAAAGCATCGAAACCAAGACATTCCGCACTGCCGGTAACGTTCGCAACAGAGGCATACACCTGCCAGTGCGTGGCGGTGCCATTGCTCTTGGGGCAAGCGACGAACCCGCTGGCGCCCTGGCCGTTGTAGGCGAAGTGGCCGAACGGCGTGCCGGCGGTGTAGACGAAGGGACCGGTGGAGGAGCCGGGGGGATGTAGCCCGAGTGAGCAGTGGTGAAGCGCAGGGCGCCGCGGGGGTCGACGTAGATGCGCTGGCCGCCTGGGACGGCGACGTCCTGTGTCTTGTTAGTATGGTCGGAACATATGAGGAATAGGCAAGGACGTACCAAGGCAGACTCGCTGGCGAACCGGGTGGTTGTGCCGGGAGGGCAGCCGCCGACCTTCTCGACGGACTCAGGGCAGAAGGTGGAGGGCGACTCGCCGAGCCAGAAGGTACCGTGAGCAGCGTTCAGGGGGAGCAAGTGGACGGGCGAGGCGGAGCGAGCGGACATGACGGAGAATTTGCTGGTGCTGTTGCTGGTGCGGTAGCTGTGGCTGTGGCCATTGTTGCGGACGGGGATGCTGACGGCAGAGGCCAGGGTGAGGAGCGAGAAAAGAGCTGGGATCTTCATTTTTTGCTTGTAGATGTAGATGTAGATATAGATATAGTATAATTGCAACTGTACAGTGATACGGAGTACTGGGAATGGGTGTGAAGTGAATCAGATATGGAGAGGGAGGGTTTAAATACCTGCTGTGCCAGCACTAACTGACGAAAAAAACCAGATCTGATCAGCGACCCTTCATTTTCATCATCCCTTATCTATTTCTTTCACAAGAGACAAAGCCTTGCCCCATGTGGCATCTCGAGCGCCCATCTCCACTTGGCCCTGACGATCCCGGGTCGGTCTCCGTCTCGATTTCTACAGCTGACTCCGACGGTTAATACCCTTGAAACACAGGGACAGCTGATCATGTTACGTCGTTGCCGTACCCTTGTTCATTCTCTTACACGGCTGATGATCAGGGTTTCTTTGGCAGGGGATGCCGTACGGGAAAAAGAAAAATTGATCCAGCAATGACATGGCCGATGATGCCGATGATCGACGGTTGCTCCACTCCGTGTCTCGGGGTGAGTACCTTTCTGGTCAAATGGAATAGCTTCACGTTCTGCAGCTCCTGTCATTGGCCGAGTGTCAGCAATAGCCCCCTCAGGGTCCAGTCCATAGCCTGTTGCTGCCGAAAACTCTCGTCGAGCTGGAAGATTCGGCGCAGCCACAGATCCACAGATCCACTCCGGGCCACTGCGGATGCTCATGGCGACAAGAGGCGGTCTGGTTGCTTGGAATAAATTTCTATATTTGTCGAATGATGCCTGCTGTGGCATTGCTTGGTCTATTATGTCCCACATCTATGTACAACAATTAGTCTATACAACAAGGCAAATCAATACTCCCCCATCAATGGCAGATCGCGAGAACTTCGTCCCACCCAGATCTGGAATTTGCCCTCGGGCATCACCCAGTTCTGCTCACGCGTGCTCCAGTAGCTCAGATCCTTCCGGCTGAGCGTCATCTGCACCTCGCGTCGCTCACTAGGTTCCAGCTCGATCTTGGTGAAGTTCCGCAGAACCCGCTCAGGAAACTCGATTTTCACCCGCTCCCTTTGTTTCTCCCCGGGCTTCTTTGCGTCGGTGTCCACCTCCACCCAGTCGCCCTCCTCGGTCACATCGGGCGGGAACGATACATACACCTGGACTACCTCCTGTCCTTTGCGATCTCCAGTATTGCTCACCTGGAGCTTTACGCTTACCATCTCCTCGTATAGCGCGGGATGGCCACCTGCTCCACCCCCGGCTGGCGATGGACTTTGTGTCTCGTTGTAACCCTTGGGGTAGAATGAATAGTTGCGCGGTGCCGTCCCATCAAAATTCGAAAGGTAGGGATAAATGTATTTGAAGATTGGCTGGAAACCAGCCGGGAATAAGACTGACGCAGGATCCGGAAGGCTGGTATCGTACACGGGTGGAGCCACGGCGTCTGCAGGCCGTGGGGGTGGAGACCGCGATTTTCTCTGCAGTGGGCTGATGCTGAGATCCGACAGTTCAAACGTGGTATACGACAACCCGAACCCGAATTCAAAGTGCGGCGTGATGTTATGCCGGTCAAAATGCCGGTAATCGACGTACAGAGCGTTCAAAAAGTCTGCCTGCGGCACCGGTGCATTGGGCTCGTATAAAACCTGCGCGCCAGGACCATAGTCCTCCAAACTCTTCCCAATTGTGTATGGCAATCGTCCACTTGCATCCACGTCGCCAAACAGCACGTCCATCAATGCATTTCCGCTCTCCTGTCCGGGCAGGTTGGCAAGCAGGACGGCGTGCACGCCGGGGAGATCGATCCACGATTCCATCACGACTGGGCCGACCGCGTGAATGACAACCACTGTCTTCCCTTGTCCACCACCGCAGTTGCTCCCCACGCTACGGACCAGTGTATCGCCTCCTTTCTGCAGAAAGAGATCGTTCCGATCGCCGTGGATTCCGCCTGCGGAAATATACCCCTCTCCTGAGTCGGCATTCACAAAGACGAGGCACAAATCTTTGTCAATCGCGTCCGCTGGCATGACGGCGTTGCGCAGGTACGCGGTGCTCTCTATTTCCGTCGACCATGCAGATTCCAACGCCTCGATAGGGCTGACAAGGTACGGAAACTCCACGGTTCCGCTGCCCCAGCCGGTAGCCAGGGTGCCCTGGTTGCATCCCCGGTCAGGGCAAGCATTCGGGCCCGATGCCGGTCCGGCATCGTCACCATAGATACCAACGCGGAGAATGCCGCCGGATGGACTCGATGCGTTGCGCGACAGCGGAAGCGTGTGATCTACGTTCTTCAGCAGCACTGTCCCTTCCGCCGCAACCTTTCTCGCTATGATGCTATGCGCCTCCGGCCCGGTGCCCTGGGCGTCAACGAAGTGGTTCACCACAGCATAGGACTCATCGTTGCTTCCCGTATGCAGCCACCCAACTTCGTCGTTGGTCCAAGACGAAAAATTAGGGCCGCCGTTGCCTTCCGGCGGCGGACGTTCCCAGGTATCCTGCCCCAAATGATACCACGCAGCCACAATCCGGGTGACCATGTCGTTGAGTCGCTCCATAGGAACAGACGTGTTGAGCACTGCTCTTGTCAGTTCACTACCCCAGAGAGACTTGCCGTCCACCCAATGCAGACCGTCCCCCGGCATGCTCATGTCGAGGCCCCCAAGGGCGCTGTTAATGCCAGACCGCTGGGCCAGCCAGTCGGACTGCACAAATCCTTGAAACCCTAGTTCATCCTTGAGGATTCCGTTCAAGAGTTTGCTATTTTCACAGGCGTGGCTGTTGTTCACCATTTGATAAGAGCACATCACGCTAGCCACGTCGGCTCGGATACTCTCGGCGAACGGCCACGCAAAGACTTCGTGCAGGGCACGGTCGCCCACGTTGGACGATAAAGCGGTGGGAATCCCCCATTCAAAGGGCTGCCGGAAATGTTCCTGCTCATTCATCGCAAAATGCTTCGCCGTGGCCATGACTCCGTTGCTCTGAATACCTCGGATGGTTTCCGCCGCAGCCACCCCTTGAAGCACAGGGTCCGAGCCGAATCCTTCCCAGTTGCGTCCTCCCGCAGGCATCATCCCCAAGGGACCCATCGACGGACCCAGGAGGACATTCACCCCTTTCAATCGAGCCTCCCGCCCCATAGCGACGCCCCGCTCGCGCATGAGCTCTCGATTCCACGTAGATCCCGTAGTAATACCCGCCGGAAAGGCAGACACATGGTCCGCAAAGCGTAATCCTTGAGGGCCGTCCTGTAAGCACAGCGAGGGGAATTTAACAATATCCGCGGGGCCTGAACAATCAGCATGAATTCCATAGTTCACAGTCAACCATGCATACCAGTGTTTCCAACACACAGGCCCATCTGCCAGCCAATGCCAGTAGTGATGTTGACCTTTTCGACGAGCGTCATGTTCCGAACCAAGCTCTGCGCCTTTTTATAACTCTCCTCCCAATGTTTGAGCGTCCCACCCTTTGGCGACGGAAACCACGAATCAGATGGTACAGTCGGCTAGACAATCAACAATCAGCCCCCAGCCTCAGATAAAAGTATGGCACAGCACTCACCCAGACTTTCGGCTCGTCCCTATGCGACATCGCAAAGCTCAAAAACCCCCACACCACCACCGCCAACGTAACAATGACAGCGATCAGCGTCCGCCACCAGATCCGCGCGTACTTGACAGGCGTCCACGCCCGGAGCCTCGCACGCCGCCGCTTCAGCCTATCCTTCAACCTGTATCTGAGTGTAGCCTCCTCGTCGGAGTCGAAATCGTCCGAGTCGTCGTCGTCGACGAGATCATACTGCTTCGACGCGGAGAGGAGCTCCTGCTCTGCTTCTGTGATGCTATCGAGGTACGTCTCGACGCCGCCATCATCGCGGAAGACGGGGATGAAGGCGGAGGAATGGTGGGAGCCGTAGCGGTCGACCGGGCGGAGCTTGTAGGAGCCTGACTTCTCGAGGTCCGAGTCCGAGTCGGTGTTGGCATCGGCGAATTCGGAGGGGGAGCGGAAGGAGGAGATTTCTTCGGGGATGGCTTCGTGGAGGGGTGCGTAGCGTTGTTTGCCCTTGGATGTTGAGCTCCGGTCGTTGGTTTTGAGGTGGTCCCTGAAGCTTCCGCCGTGGGTGGAATCCGGGGGAGCCATGCCGGGTTAGGGTAGGGATGGCATTGATTAGAAGGTGTCTTTACAGACTCAGAAAAGGGAGAGACTGAAGATGCCGATGGACAAGTAACTGGCAGGAGCAATGCCGATGGAGGAAATGACAGAGCCGATGCGGTGGAACGGGGAGAGCTATTCAGCCAATCAGAGGAGAGCTGCGTCTCCTGTATTGGAGATGCATTACGCACTGCTGGCGATCTTTTCACTTGATTTTAAACGCCGTGCTTGTGATATGTAGGAGAAACAGAGCGAGAGATTATGGTTTGTCATGAAAAATAGATAAGTTAGCTGAGGTGCTGAGTTCTGGGAACTCGATGGATTGCCTAATATGGCATAACAATGACAAGGTATCCAACCTCTTAATTGCAGCTCAAGAAATACTCAACTTTAAGGTGATCAATAACCAGGAGAAGTGATAAATATTACGAGGAGACTGGCTTACTTTATATGAGCCACTTTGGACAGTCCAGTGAGGGATATATTGGCTAAGTATCAGGTACTTGAACAGATCTATATATAGTTCATATTGCTATCTACACGCTCATCCGCGGCAGACACTCAAAGATAAGATGTCTTGCTGTAAAAAGCCTGCCTATGAACGCGAGACGAGCAAGGCAGCTCATGCAGTTTATGTACGAGTTATGCAATTAGAGATAGAAACAGATGAACGTAGGCAAGAAGTCATGTTCTCTATGTACTAACATGTATTATTCAAAACATAATAACACCAGACCGTCTATAGCAAGATATGCCAAGTTGAATCATAACGCTCATATGCAGTAGAAAGATGCACTTTTAGAAGGAAAAAGCAAAACGTCTATTCAGCTTCGTCGTCGGTGTCGGGGGCTTGGGGGTACCCTTGGGAGATTGCAACCT